TTTAAATATATTTAATATTTTTATATTTTATACTTTATATATAAATATTTAAAATATATATAATTTTAAATATTTTAATTTAAAATGTTATAGCATTTTTATATCTTCCTATAGTTTTAAGGGATTATTTAATAGCCTTTATAAGCACTTTCGTTTCTTAACTTTATTAATATTTATAATTAATTTTACTACATTTACTAAAATCTTTATAAAAAAATCCACTATTAATATTATAAAGAACTTATTTAAATAAATAAAAATAGGTTTATATTTAAGGAATATTAAATTATACTATTTAATTAGCTTTATTATAAGGATATTATTTTTAATTTTTTTAAAGTATAGTATATAATTTAAACTATAATATTAAATTTTATTATTTTATAAATATACTTTAAAAATAATATTAATATAAAAGCCCTTAATAAATATTACTTTAATAAATATTAAATCTATAAAATATAACCCATATTTACTATTAAGTATATTTTTAATAATCCTTTTCCTTATATTAAAAATTAAAAATTATATTATTTTTATATTTATTACCTTTTTATTCTTAATTAAAATAAATATATTTAGTTTTAATAATTCTTTTTACATTTATTAAATATAATATATTATAATTATTAATAAATATATTATTTAATAATATATATAATATTTAATTAAAAGTTAAATATATTTTTAAATTAAATTTATTTAAAAGGTAAAATAGGTTAATAATTATTCCTATAAAGCAATTTTTATTAATAACTTAATATAAAAGTATAAAGTATAATTTGTAAAGCGCTACGCTTTTATTATTATAATTTAAAGAAATAGAATATACCGGTATATAGATTATTACTATTATTTATTTAAAGCTATATTATATAAGGATGCTTTAATACTTTAAAAACTTTTTAAAATTATATTACCTTTATTTATATTAATAATAAATGCTTTTTCAATTTTGTTAATATTAAGTAAATATACTTTAATGCTTTAAATATTTCTTAATAATGGATTATTAAAATTATATAAAGTTAAGGTATTACTTATAATAGAAGTATAGTTCCTTTTCCTTTAAATTAAGTTTTATTAAGTGCGCCTTTAATAATAGAAGTATTAAGCTAATTATAATATATATAACTTATTTATTAAAGAACTTTTTTTTTATTTAATTTTTAATTAAATAAAGTTCCTTTATAAACAACTTTCTATCTATTAATAAAAATAATTTTATATAGGTTATCTTAATAAATATATTTATAATATATTTTAATATTTTTAATAGTTTATTTATTTAATAATTTTATTAAATATAGGTTACTTTTCTTAATAATTATAAATTATAATTTTTTATACTTTTATAGTTTTTATAAATATATTTCTTTAAAGTTTAATATATATAAATATAAATATCCCTTCTTTTTTTTATATATTTTTAAAAACTTTTAAAAGGTATTATTATTTAAATTATTATTTAAAGAAGTTATATTAAGTATTATAAAAATTATTATACCTTTATACTTTTATATATTATTTTTATTAATAAAGCCTTTAAATACTTTATTAAAATTATTTAATATTATAATTAATTTTTTTAATATTTTATTTTTAATAACTTTTATTAATTATATATTTATTTATAAAGGTATTATATATTATAAAAGTAACGCATCTCCCACTTGACCTGGCCACCCAATTGACCTGGCCACCCCCCTAGCCCATACAATAAACGTCGGTGCATTAATCACGTGATAATTTAATAACTCTACGAATACTAATCGTATGAAATAGTAAAATATACCATTAGATTCGTAATAGAAAGAGCTATTTAACGGTACCCTTTACTAAATTCTACGACCTATATTCGCGGAGTTATTAAGCAATACACTAAAGTAAGCGCTAAATTAATCCTTGCTTAGCGCTCCTTTAGCGTATTGCTTAATATTTCGCTTAATAAATTTTATAAAAAATAGTGAAAAATACCTCTGGATTCCCCTTTAACTAATGGATTTAAAGGTACTAATTATTAAATCGTACGGTTAGTATTCGTAAAGTTATTAAAGATTAAAATAATAGGGTTTTATATAGGTTATTGGGGTGGCCAGGTCAAGTGGGAGATGCGTTACTTTTAAAAAGTTTTTTATTATTAAAATTCCTTTAATATTTAAAATATCCCTTATTTTAATACATTAATATATTAAGTCCTATTTTTAATATTATTTTATTATATTAATACTTTTAATATTTACCCTTTTAAATATAATATAATAATTCTATTAAATTATTATTAAAATATTAAACTTTAATAAAATAATAATATTTTAAAACGCTTTAATAAAGTTTTAAATTTATAATTTATTATTATTAATAATTATTATATAAATAATTTTAAAGCAATTTTTATTAATTATATAATTAATTTAATTAAAAAGTATATTATATTTAATTATAAAAGTATTTTATTAAATTATCCTTAATAATTATATTATTATAATATTATTATATTATTTTTTAAACTTTTTATTATTAATATTTTTATTTAAAATTAATATTAATTTATTAAAATTATTATACTTTAGCCTTTATTTAATTATAGCTTTAATATAAATTATTTTTCTTTAAATTATAATATTTTCTTTTATAAATTTCTTTATAAAAGTTAAAAATGTTTAAAAGTTTAAAAAAGTATAAACCTTTTTAAATATTTATAAAGGATTTAAATTTATTATCCTTTAAATATTATATACCTTTATATATATTTAAAAATAAATAAATTAATTAACTTATTTTTTAATTAAATATAATATAATATTATTTAAAATAATAAACTTTATTAAATTTAATTTAAATATTATATATTTATAAAATATATTTATAAATATTAAATAATTAAAGGGTAAAAAAAAGAAATATACTTTATATAATTAATAATAAAAAAGTATTAATTTTAATTAAAAATTTAATTTATAAATAAATTAAATTTATAACTTTAATAAATATTTATAATTAATAAAATTAAATTAATATTTTTAAATAATATTTTTAAAGTTAAATTAAAAGTATTATTTTATTTTTAATCCTATAATAAAGTATATAAAAAATTTTAACTATATAAACATTTTAGCTAATCCTTAGAATATAGCATCCCTGCTAAAAGCGCCTTTATAGGTATGCTTTTGCTGGGGTATAATGCACCTTCGTTAGGGGCATACTGCGCTACTAGCCAAAAGCGCTGCGCTATTAGCAAAAGCGTTACACCGCTAATAAAAGCGCCACACCGCCCTATTATAATATCCTTAATAGTTTATTTATTTAATAGTTTTATTAAGCGTAAGTTACTTTTTTTAATAATTATAAACTATAATTTTTATACTTTTATAGTTTTTATAAATATATTTCTTTAAAGTTTAATATATATAAGTATAAATATCCCTTTCTTTTTTTATATACTTTTAAAAACTTTTAAAAGGTATTATTATTTAAATTATTATTTAAAAAGGTTATATTAAACGTTATAAAAATTATTATACCCTTATACCTTTATATATTATTTTTATTAATAAAGCCTTTAAATACTTTATTAAAGTTATTTAATATTATAATTAATCTTTTTAATATTTTATTTTTAATAATTTTTATTAATTATATATTTATTTATAAAAATATTATATATTATAAAAATATTTTTAAAAAGTTCTTTATTATTAAAATTCCTTTAATATTTAAAATATTCTTTATTTTAATATATTAATATATTAAATTTTATTTTTAATATTATTTTATTATATTAATACTTTTAATATTTATCCTTTTAAATATAATATAATAATCCTATTAAATTATTATTAAAATATTAAATTTTAATAAAATAATAATATTTTAAAATATTTTAATAAAGTTTTAAATTTATAATTTATTATTATTAATAATTATTATATAAATAATTTTAAAGTAATTTTTATTAATTATATAATTAATTTAATTAAAAAGTATATTATATTTAATTATAAAAGTATTTTATTAAATTATTTTTAATAATTATATTATTATAATATTATTATATTATTTTTTAAACTTTTTATTATTAATATTTTTATTTAAAATTAATATTAATTTATTAAAATTATTATATTTTAACCTTTATTTAATTATAGCTTTAATATAAATTACTTTTTTTTTAAATTATAATATTTTTCTTTATAAATTTCTTTATAAAAGTTAAAAATATTTAAAAGTTTAAAAAAGTATTAACCTTTTTAAATATTTATAAAGGATTTAATCTATTATCTTTTAAATATTATATACCTTTATATATATTTAAAAATAAATAAATTAATTAACTTAATTTTTAATTAAATATAATATAATATTATTTAAAATAATAAATTTTATTAAATTTAATTTAAATATTATATATTTATAAAATATATTTATAAATATTAAATAATTAAAAGGTAAAAAAAAAATATACTTTATATAATTAATAGTAAAAAAATATTAATTTTAATTAAAAATTTAATTTATAAATAAATTAGGTTTATAACTTTAATAAATATTTATAATTAATAAAATTAAATTAATATTTTTAAATAACGTTTTTAAAGTTAAATTAAAAGCATTATTTTATTATTAATCCTATAATAAAGTATATAGAAAATTTTAATTATATAGGTATTCCGGCTAATCCTTAGAGTGTAGCGCCCCTATTAAAAGCGCCCTTATAGGTACGCTTTTATTGGGGCGTAGTACGCCCTTGTTAGGGGCACACTGCGCCATTAGCAAAAGCGCTGCGCCACTAGCGAAAGCGCTACGCCGCTAATAAAAGCGCTGCGCCACTAGCGAAAGCGCTGCGCCGCTGGTGAAAGCGCTGCGCCGCTGGTGAAAGCGCTGCGCCGCTGGTGAAAGCGCTGCGCCGCTGGTGAAAGCGCTGCGCCGCTCCGTCACAGTTGTTTTATTTTGCATAAAGGGCCTTGAAAATCCATATTAAAACTCGTAACCTGCTATAAAACATACCAGAGCAGAAACTCAACTGGTTAATGGCTTCGGCGGATGTGAGCAATTATCTAGCATAGTATAATATTCCACATGGATATAATGTTCCACATGGAGACTTAGGGGCTCATTTCGCCATGTATCCAAACTCCCTAGTGATAGCCTTGTTAAGTGATTAAGCTCACGAGTTTTCGTGATGAAATTCAAATGGTATCCGCACTATCATATCCATAGCCGGCTTTTTCTCGCTTGTGATACGCGAGAGTCGTGTCATGGAGATTCATCTTACACAGCTGCCAGCTTGAAGCGCCCGTTCACATCCTGAAATGTTATTTTGATCGTATTAGACCCCCGCTGAAACTTGTACAGAGCTGGGACTCATGTATTCTGTTCTTTTTGCCGTCTCATGGAAGTCACCGCTAGGTTAGGGTGAGGGAGTTAGAGGGAAAGTAGCTTGATTTAGGCGTATTTTCCACTCATAGTTATTATATCTCCTCTTCCACCGTCATCTGGCGCGCTTTGGCGCACCACTTGTGTTGGATGATTCCTGCTGCAACACAAGTATTATCTCTCCATGGCTGCTCTGGATACTCCGCTATTATTCTAGTTGTCATCGCTAACGGTATGACTGCCGAATCTGCAGTACTCCACGGTAAATGGTCAAATCTAGGTACTCTCGCTCATACCTCCCTACTCTGTTTTACGTGCTCAAGCCAGTTATTGCCGGTTCATGTCTGGAAAGCAACTATGAGGCCATAGACCAGTACAAAACCCCGTATAAGTGAATCTCTATGAAGAAGCTACGAAGTGGACCATAGTAGGCATATGAGCTTACAGGAAAAGGGAAAGTTCTGTGCACAACAGCACGTAATAGCTGCTCATAAGGAGGCAATTAGATTCCAAAATTGTATATGATATGTAGCTACCTACATAGTAGTCAGGGTTATATATTAAGCAAGGCATCTATGGAGTGGACCTTACTGGCGCCACGTCTTCACTATAGTCTTTTTTCTGGATCTTTCCCTTCGACTCTCTAAAAAGCTCATTACTGCCATATCAAGCACCCCTTTTCTTGACACTCAAAGGGTGAGTTGCGTTTCTCCTCTCAGATTGAACCTTATTCTTACAATCTGATTACATTTGGGGGCTTCTCGACCATAAACTTGTTCTTCACGTTGTAGATCTTTGATAATTCACGGTATCTTTCGAAATGAGTAAGCTGTGCCATTGTTGGTGCAATTGTCTCTTCTTACTGTTGCTCTTATAATTTTAAAAGCTGTTGGCTATTTCAATCGATTTGAAGAGCAAATCTCTATACCAGCGAACCCTCTTCCTGCTATCGTTAATTGTTTGCCAACGAACGGTAACTTTTCGATAGCGACCGAGTTTGCATAGGAGTCAGCTCTTGAATTAAATACATTATACTCTCCAAACAATAACGATTCAACATCAACTGTGTAGTAAAAAAAACCGTTCCAGTATAGTATGTCTGCTCCCTAAACCTCTTTCAGCTCCTTGCCCTTTCTTTTCCCTTTTGCTAGCCTAGACAATGAGTAGAAAGATATCAGTACATTGTGTTGTCACTTGAAGTTCTGGTAGAAGTACCTATGGCGCGACGCTAATATTCCTCACTAGGTTAGGTAGGGTGCAGCATTAGCAGATACGCTAGTACAGGACAGGCCTAACCGGCCCCTGAAAGGTAGGGCAGGCTCTCACCGCCTAAATTTGATGGAGACATCACAGGGCGGTGAGCTGAATCCTTGTACAATACTGCCTGGCAGAAAAGAAAAAAAGTGCCCCTCTAACTGCACTGCGCATTCGCTTGGTTTAGGACGCCTGGAATGAATGATGAGCTCCATGCGGCAGACATAGTGGAATGATCTGAGATTTCTCCTCTTTTCTCCTCTTCAATCGCAAAGCAAACACTTAGATTCGGCATGGGAGGGAAGCGCAAGCGCGGCGCCAACAAGGCCGGTGGCGTAAGCGGACAGCCGTCCCAGAAGCGCTCCAAACCCGACGAACCTGCTACCAATGGCGCTCAATCAACACCCCTTGACCTCGACAATTCGCCCTTCGCAGACGAGAACACCGGCGAGAACCGTAAACGCGAAGCTAAGATTTATGACCTTCTAGGAAGCCTCGATAACGACGAGCGTCTCGCTGCCGCCGATGCATTGATCACAGGCTTGCTCGCTGGTTCCGAGCCCGCCCTGAAAAGGCACCTCGAAAAGCGACTGTTTCGTGGCCTCGCCAGCTCTCGCAATGCGTCCCGTCTCGGTTTCAGCCTTGTTATCACTGAGATTCTGCGACAGCTGTTCGGCTCATCGGACGTAGCCAGCACCAAATTCCCGGGCCTTACATTTGATAAAGTCCTGAGTATACTGGTTGATGCGACGTCAATTGGTGGGAACGTCCCTGGCCAGGAAGAAAGAGATTACTTCTTCGGCCGATTGTTTGGTATACAATGCTTTGTCGAAGCCAAGATCCTGTTCGCAGACAGCACACGATGGCCTAAACTCCTAGAGTTGCTACTAGACATGGCGCAGAAAAAGGTCTGGATTCGATCACACTGCGGTTGGGTCATAGTGGAATGCCTTCCCCAGATGGGACAAGAAAGAGCAGAAGCCGCACTTCGGGGATTTGCCGACCAAGGTTTGGGAAAGACTGCCGAGGGGGTCGGCATTTGGCTGCGTGCTCGAAGCTGCTATCCGGGCATTAAGCTCCCAGCGAAACCCTGGGTCGATCCTCTAAGCCCTGTTTCTCTACCCGAAGTCGCTCGGGTACTCAAAGAAAACGTCGCAAACGATAACGGAGAGGATGCAGCAGTGCCTAAGCTAAAACAAAGCAACTGGACAGCACAGCTACACTTTGTTTGGGACCTGATTCTGGCGACATTATTAGAATCGAGCGCTACGGATAAGAAGTCTACGAAAGATCAAGTAAAACTTTTCTGGACGACCGTCATTGATGGTGAGTTGTTTCCTCGGACTTGTTCCTATACATACGACTTAACACCCTGACTAACCACCCATTTGTAGATGGACTATTCTCCAAGAATGCTTCAGACGGCCAAAAATTCCGCGGCTTTATGCTATTTCAGAAATACATCCACGGTCTGGCTTCTGTAGATAAGTCCTTGGTCAAAGAGCTCTTCACACGTAACTTGATGAAGTGTTTAATCAATCAGGCAGCCAAAGAAGATCGCTATCTTCACCGCGCCGCTTTAAAAACACTACAGTCGATGGAGAAGGCAGTGGAGACGCATCCTGAGCTACTGGTCATTATTCTGAAAGAGCTCATTGGAAAATATGGGCTTTATGATTTTGATCAACGTACGGCTTCCAAGACAATCGAGAATCTACTGCAATGGGTCACCCCAAATAATTCTAAGAAGGTGCTGAAGCTTCTTCGTGAACCTGTTATGAATCTAAAGGAGTAAGACATCTTGCCTTTTCTTCTGTCCGAGTATCTGTTCTAACTGGCCTAGTGTACCTGAAGATGCTGAAAAGCTGCGACAAGCCTATGCGGACTACATTTTCAAGATGACTGTCCAGGTGAAAATGTCCGCAACCGATTCTAAAGATGCTGATAGCAAAAGCGCTCTTGAGATCGGTGTCAAAGAGCTTATTTCCTGTGCATATTCCTTACAAGAAGAATTTACCCCCCAGCCTTCAGACAAGACTAGGGATATATTCCGCAACCGGCTTGCCTCAGCTTTCTCCAAAGTGGCCAAGCAATCCCAAAATGCTGAGTATCTGTGCGATGCTGTGAGATCAGTGAAACCAACTGCTGTGGCAATGAACAACGAGATTGAGGTTAAACGCAAGGACGCCTTGAAAGCAATGGCGAAACTTCTTGAAGTTTCCAAAAAATCGGGCGATAGTTCCGGCAATCTCTCAACTGGTCTCGCTTTACTCTATTCAGCTACCCTTCTACAGTTGTACAATGGTGCACCAGACGCGTTCAGTATCCTGGAAGATATTGAAGCCTGTTCCGAGAAGGTGAAGAGCAAGGAGGCCGGGGCGTCAGAGCTTCTTATCGAGATTCTTTTCGCTTTGATTCCTCGGCAGTCTCCTATGCTGCGTCAGATTAGCGAACAGGTCTTTGATGCGTTCGCATCACAGATATCATCTGAAGCTCTTCAACTACTCTTAGAACCATTGGTAGCCGAAGAAAACTCGAAAGGCTACCAGGCGCTATTTGAGAATAATGAAGATGCCGACATGGAAGACATAGAAGAATCTAATTCAGGTAGCGATGACGCGGACTCTGACGAAGACGAAATATCTGAAGTTGGCTCCGACGTTGAATTCGTGACGCTTAATGACGCTGATACAAAGTCGGACGGAGACGCGGAGGAGGACCAAAATGAAAACCAAGAAGAGAAGGATGAGGAAGAAAACGAGGCTGAAGATGCTGATCTTGCTGCGCTTGACGATGCACTTGCCAAAGTTCTCAACAGTCACCGCCTTGACAAGGACCAAGAGGCGGAGTCATCTGATAACGATTCAGACATGACTGATTCGGAGATGATGGCATTAGATGAGAAGCTTGTCGATGTTTTCAAGCATCAGATCAAGAACACAAAGCGCAAGAGTGAGAAGAAAGATGCCAAAGAGTCTGTTGTTCTTTTCAAGCACAGAATTCTAGATCTGCTCAACATATTTGTTAAACAGGAAGCATCAAACGTTTTGGCCTTCGACCTTCTTCTCCCACTCATGGAACTCGTGAGGACGACGACTGTCAAACCTCTTTCTAATAAAGCAATGAATATTCTCACAGATTTTTCGAAGGCGTCGAAAAAGATCCGGAGTAAGGATACCCAGGTCGATACGGAAGCTCAAGTCACTCTATTACTGAAGATCCATGAGGAGGCTTCGAAAGATATGTCCCATGCTTTTGCCAAGGCTGCGTCGATGGCAAGCTTGCTAATCGCATCTAGCCTATGGGCTGCTGACCAAGAGAACATCGATCGCATCAATGCGGTGTATGCGCAGACCTTTGCGGATTGCCAAAAAGGGAAAATCAAAATCCAGGGTGCTTTCTTTTCAGACTGGATTAACTGGGGCATGGGTCATGCCAACAATCAAAACGCTGGAGAATGATAGAGATTTTTTACGCATATTAAAACGAAAGTCTCGGAGGTTGTTTGTAGCTTAGGACAGATACCCCTTTATATGTATATATGCCAAAACGGATTACTTGCTCTTAATGACGAGGGTATTACCTATGTTGATGATTTGCTTGTCACCGAGCTTTCAGTGCTTAACTTAACAATGTGGCAGTGCCCCCCGGCCAAGGTAACATCACCTGACCTAGTCAACGTCCTTCCAAAGAATTACCTGCTATGCCCACGATCTGGATCTCGTTTCTCGAGCGTTTCCATCGGTCCTTCTTCTGATACAAGACAGGAATGTTTCATTTATCTATCTTATCTCCGTGCCGAGTTCCGGTTACGCAGCAAGCATGTATGGTGATACAGGTGGCTTGTAACACTTTCTCCGTTCGCTCCTATCACGTACCTGCAGCCCGCAACCACACCACATCGACCGATCGCTTGTCTAAGTCCCTCTATATCAACCCGTGTGTTCGTTCCCCGGATCGAGAAGGGAATACTTCAGACTCGGATGAGGAATATGCTGTACGGTAGCCCGAGAATATACTAGCGGACAGACCCATCCTCTTGTATGGCAAGCAAGCGCTGCAGAGATCACCGTGTTAGCCATCGGTAAGTATGCAGATGCATGCACTATTGCCCTTCTACCTGTCTATGTCCGGCATCTATTTCCTATTTCGGAATTGGAAAAAGCAAAGAGATGCATCTAGTCGGCGTGCGTGCGTGGGCTGAAAAGTAAGGTCGTGGATATATGTATCTAGCTAAGTAGCTGATATATTCGGATTAGTTCGTTCGAACTTGGGTTAGGGAGAAATTGAATCGCTTTATCTATGTATTAAGTGATGGGCTCGGCGAATCGGAGGTTTATATCTAGGTAGATCGGTCTCGGTGTGCGGAGAGCCTATTGGAATTTGAATTGGGTCGATTTGTTTTTTAGAGAATGGTCATATAGGACATTAGCTTCGTGGATGTCTCGCTGTCTGTGGTGTGAGACATGGCGTTTGTAGCGTCGTGCAGGATACTAGCTAGATAGATGGTATGGTCGTCACATCACATAGTTCAGGTAGATAAGTATGGATGTAAGGTATGCTGCGTGTTCCCCGCGCGTGAAGTGTAGATATGGGTGTAGGGCGGCGGCTGGTGGAGGTTTTGTGCATGTATGCCATGTCATGCACACATGTCGTGTCGGCGGTGATACAACTAGATAGCCTGGGTAGTTGGTTGGTGTATGTAGGTACTGATCTCCCTCTCCCTTCTCCCTCTCCCCGTTTCTTGGGTCATTGCTACGTTACGGATGTTGGGTTGGGTTGCGGAATAGACGATCGATACCATGGCTCTCAGCGTCGCGAGCTTCTTCCCGCAACTCGCCGGCTTGACCTCCGATTCGCCCAACTCGAGACCCGTCGCTCTAGGTGGCCAGAGCTTCACTCATTGTTGTCTCTTGGCTGTTAACGAGTCGCTTGTGTATTCGGACGGGAACCTCTCGTATGCGAGCCCTTCGTTCATCGACCCGAGAGTCTCTATTGAAAGCTTGCAAAATGCGGTGCAGAACGACGCGTTCCCGTGTGGTGCTGAGTTTACTGGCGATAAGAGCGGTGCGCCGGTTGTAAGTGGTATGTAGAAAATACCAGGATTTCGCTTGTTGCACTATTCTGGGATGAAAGTTATATACCACACTACCTACTTGTCTTTCTTTGCCATCCCTTTATTTCATGCTGATGTATAGTTGTGTCTCGCTCAAGCAACATTCTGACGGGAACAGTAACGTACAACTGGTGCGCAGACAAATGCCCAGGATGGGAGATATCGCATTTCAACGTCCTGCAGCAATGGGTTGGGCCCCTTGTTCAATTCATCGTGCCGTGTCTCGCATTTTGCACCAACGTCCCACGCACGAGAAAGTTGGGAATCCCGGATATTGTGTTTAGGGCGCATCCCCGGACTGTCATCGGCCTGGCCACGTATTGGGTCAGGCTCCTAGGCGCTCTCTTGCTCATGCTGCTCGACACCGTCGTGTGGCTGTCCATCTGCTTCGCCTTCGCGGGACCCATGCTTTTAAGCGCTGTGTACGAATACGCTCTCGATCGCAAGGTCCTAGAGTTTCTCTCGCCGCCTAAGGGACACCCACCGAACATCCCAATGAGGCTGCGGGCGCAGCTGTTGCTTGCTGTGGTATGTGGGAATATCCGCATGGCGATGCGCGAGAGGTCGGATTCAGACTCTGCTGAAGATGGGACACGTGCTGATGCGGAGAACGGATTGGGATACTCAGAGAGCGATAAGATGCCCGAGACTACTCACCGGGTCGTGCATAATAGTATTTGGAAACGCATTATGACTATGGTGGATGAATACGAGGCTATTAGGTTGGATCCTGATGGGAGTGGGAAGGAGGTTGTTTCATTACCGACCAAGCTGAAGTCTTTGCTCAATTCCCAGGCAAGGTGAGTGGACTCGTCTCACCCACCCCCTGCTATCTTTCTGCTTGCTTATAGTTGCGTCCTGGCAGCTTTGGATCTACTGTTGGAGCTTCGATCCTGTTCTTTGTGGGCGGGTTCATCTACACCGTCATCGACAGCGAGAGTAGTCTGAGCGACAATGATACCGCTCATGCTTTAGCGTTCGGCATGTGTAAGTATGATCTCCCGTATTTGTCCAATCAATACTACTCATGGCCATGCTGGGCTGGCAACAAGCTGAATGCTCACCAATATGTCCGAGTAGGGTGGATGGTGATCCCCTATCTAGCGATCATAGCCTGCGCCATGCTCGCAGCCAACAGCCCCAGCACCCTCGACGGCATCGTATACGACGGCGCCAACACAGCAGTGCCCGATAAATACGAAATGAGCTTCCTCAGATCGCGCATCCAGAAAGCGAAGACGTACAAGCCGATCGCTATGATCTTTCGCCTGCTCGAAGGGTACAATCCAGTCGAGCTCGCGTTCGAAGGCCGGTTTCGCACGGTCAAGTTGTGGAAACGCGGCCTGAATAAACGCCAGTGGGTGCAGGAGGCCGTCAACGACTACGAGGCGTCGATGACGATGCATAGGCTGGGCAAGAGTATAGGGCCGGTGAAATTGCGCAGACAACTCACGCTTAATGCGCAGGATTGCGCCTATGTGGTTGTTAGTTCGCTGTTTCTGGTGCTCGCGCCGACTGCGTTGGCGTTTCTTTTGTCCTACCATACGCCGCGAGCAGGTCTGTCTGTAAGTTTCAATACGATTATTTAACCGTTTGTATTGTTGCACTGATTCACTATTTTCTACGCTGATGTTATTCGATATATCATCTCGGTATAACATGCGAAGAACAGTGAAACGGGTCTCTAACAAGGGAATAGTGCCGTAGCCTAGTATACCTTGTCTATGCTATCAGTCAGGTATGCGAGATGATTTTGTGGTCTTTGGCGGCACGACTGCGTGTCAAGTACGGCAATCGGTGGTCTGTGACAGTACCCATCGCGAAACGTTTCTGCTGGTATGGGCAGGTATTTGTCGGAGGGTTCGCCATCTTTGCTGCCGTAGGCGGAACATTGCTGCAGCTACTCGGGGTATTTAGGAATTGCCTATGCTCAGTGAGTTTTATCCATGTCTAAGATCCCGATTTGTGGTCATTGACATCTCTCTATTCTTGTTTCTTCTATCCAAATAAGCTGTTGTTAAAGCTTCGTTTGGCGGGTGGTATACAAGAGTGCACCTACGAAATCACATATGGATATTAATACTCACATTTTCTTGAATCCAGGTGCCCGCGACATATTGGCCGTATTTGAACGGTCCGGAAGCTTACTTCGCAATAAGCACCAATAGTCAAGAAGCGATTGTAGTTGCCGAGGCCTGGTGGACCACGACTGGCAGCACGTCAGTTGGGTTGATAAGTATTATCACAGCATTGGCTTGGTGGCATCAGCGCAGATTACGGAAAATGTTCAAAGAGCAGGCGGACCAACTAGAAAATGACGAGATATACTGAGTTTAGAACTCGATGTTTAAATGTTCATGCCAAATTGAGACGCATCTAAATAGTAAAACAACGCTCTTTAAACTATGGAGACGACGGTTGGTGTTTTCTTAACACAACCTAAATATCTACCTATAGTTATGATGATGACGCCATCTAGAACCTGTTGGTATCTATCGGTTTGTGAGTGCAGGTTACATATAATACAAAACATGGCGGATATAGTACCACCATAGATCAAAGCATCGCAGCGCCAGTGACATGTTTGCCATTGAGAATAGAAGAACTCCGAGAAATGCAGGTCCAATGAATGCGGGTATCTTAACTTTTCCGACCCAACAACGCCAACGCAACAGCAAAGGAAAAGCTAGCCTTCGAGGCTAAAGTCCCAAGGCTTGAAAGCCGCTTTGAACTTTTCGACATCTTCAAGCTCTTCTGCAGTGGATTGAACAACGTCCCTCCATAAAAGTCGAGCCTCGAGGCCTAGGAGTTTCGCCATAACTTTACGGCCGAATTGAAGATCGAAGCGGAAGCTATCATCTATTCGCATGACGAGCTCCTTGCTTTGGATACCAGTTTCTCCATCATCAGACCATATCCATACGCGAAAGAAGTCACTCGACTCGTTAGTAGCGGATCCCAGAGCTGTTTCCTGAAACTTGGGGTACTTCAGGTTGTCGGCTTCGACTTGAAAAGCGGCCTCAACAAGACCCTTGCGAATCAAGTGATGCGATACAGGCAAGAATTGCCAATGGGTGTGAATACCATTTCGGCGACTAATTTCCCAGGTCACTGTGCCAAGTTTGAACTTTGATTGATTAGCTACCATGGCTTGCAAAGCTTCCTTAAACCGGGTCATTTCATTGAAAACGTTGTCGGCCTCGGCTCCCATCGCCTGGAATGTTGGCTCATGTGAAAATGGGATAATCAACTGATGGCATGGGAAATCAAGGCCAGACGAGACGAAATAGTCCTGACCGGGTAAGGGACCTTTGGCAGTGGTCACATATGTCTCTGAACCAATGCAGCAAATCATGTGCTGGTCTATATCCACATTACTGAGGCAGAAAAAGCAGCGGTCCGGACCCGGGGGAGGCTCGCGCTTGGACTTTTTGTGTCGACCGCCGCCACGCCGGTCATGGCTGCTGTCGAATCGGCTGAACTGGCCCTCGTCATCTGGTGCGTGGCGCTTTCTTGTGTGAGAGAGAAATGGAGAAGGGGTACAGCCTGGAGGGACAGATGTAATAGACTCTCCAGGTGTGATATTGAAAGCATAGAGAGCTTTGGCCTTGGTGGAATTACCAAAGGGCGCAAGGGAGAGGAACCGTGTGATTGCTTTGCTATCAGTTTCCTCATCGGGAAGTGGGTGCAAGAATGGCTCGCGCTCGTAGAAAAATGCGGTGGGCGATGCTGAAAAATGATATCGTGGTTTAAGAGCGGTGCACAGCTCTGCTATCTCTTCCGAAGCTAGGACAACGTCCTTGTCTTCTGGCGCAATCGCCACAGTAGAGTTGGTCGTAACACCGGCGGGCCAGGATGTGGTGAGAAGAATATCCGCTGTATTCGCGCCTCGCAAAGCCTTCGCATCGCTTACGGTATGGAAAGGAAGATGTTGATCCTGGGACTGGCCGCCAACGATAGATGCATCCAAAACTCCTCCCAACGTGACGATGCGTATCCCATCCGATGTCTTCGTCGTGCTACGTTTTCCGAGGTAATGAAGATTCTCGCACACCTACACGGGCGTTATTTAGCAAATAAACAGCTGCAACACAGGACGGAATGAAACTCGGAGTCTTACGTCTTCATCCTTTAGGATGCGCCGAACCACGGCATCGGGCAGTGGTGTTGTGCCAACCGTGAAGTAGGTTGTAAGAGGCACGCGAATCGTGCCGTCGAGAAGCTTGTGGACTGCCTCGTCATCTTGACTAGCGCTGAAGAGATTGCCGGTGACAATGGCAAAGGAGAAGTTTTGTTTTCTATGCAATGTCTCGAGCTTTGCGAATGCCTCTTGAAGCTTGCCGCTCACGCTGCCTAGTACAATCCTGTTACAATTGCGATTAGTGGCCTGCAAGTGGGTGCAATTCACGGAATGATGATGCGAGCCTACACTTTGGCTGCCATGGCTTGCCCGGGAAGCTGGAGACCCTCGAAAAGAGAACGCGACGGGGACAGGAGGACTAGGTAGCAGCAAGCCAATCCGAGAGGCTGTTGGAGTATTGATTGAAGGAGGATATCGTGATGAGGGACCAAGGGATAGGTACCTACAGTAGACTTGCAGACAGGTCTGTAGGTGGGTAGCTTTAATGACGGTAGCGTAGTTGCGTAATTGCCTTTTTAGGTAAAGCGCAGACTCAATCGATACTTTCTGATAAGATTATTTTCCCATCCAGGGGTCTGCCAAAGTCTTATCTAGCTTATCGGCTCTTATCCTCGTGCATTAGCGTTCCCGAGCTCAAAAAAAAGTTGAAGTTCTGGGGGACATGGCCGATGCGATTTCAGTGGTGGGGCGAAGCTTCGCATTCTCATGTAGATTCTCTATCCACGCGTGGTGGTGTACGTCTTGACTGACCTTCTTTGGTACCAACAGCCACCTACGTACCGGGTACACTATACCTTGGAAGGCAGTCAAGATGCCTTCGACACAGACCGGCCGGGTTTTCAAGTCCCGGAAGGGCAAAACCCGAGGGACTCCCCATCAGAAAAATCACCGATGGGAGTCCTTCTCAACCAAGATATCCAAGCTCCATTCCCTCGACCCTCTACGCAGAGTTCGTCGCCATGACCTCGACGCCGAAGACCTCGAAGCGACTACCTCGTACCTCAGAAATGGCTTGGAGAGATGGGCCGAGCTCAATCTCTCCAAGGGCTTTACCTCTTTCAAGAGGGAGTTGCAGCCCCTTTGCGACAGCCTGCCTCAAATACTACATTTCGAAGAGCGCATAATGGGACTACTCGAGAAATACATTTCGATGCAGGACCTGGAGTCGCTGGAGCCCTTGTTCGACCTGCTCACTGCCTTTGCACACGACCTTGGCACTCGGTTTGAGAAATACTACACAAGGGCGCTCTCTCTCATCATTCAAGTCGCTAGCCGCCCCCAGGACGCTGCTGTAGTCGAGTGGACGTTTGCTTGTCTCGCCTTCTTGTTCAAATACCTTTCAAAACTACTAGTGCCAGACTTAAGACCTACCTATGACTTGCTTGCGCCTCTGTTAGGAAAGGCCCGAAATCCTGCTCATATTACGAGGTTTGCTGCGGAAGCATTGAGCTTTTTGGTCAAGAAAGCTGCGGCCCCGGCAAATAAAGATAAGGCTTTAATTCCATTCATTGAACACGTCCGTAATGACTTTATTGCCAGTCGAGACAACCGCAATCTGGAATTGTACTATCATGGACTGATGTCCATGTTTGCCGAGGCAGCGAAAGGCCAAGGCCGTGGAATACATACCACCGGATCTGATATTGTTAGCTCTCTTGTCTCCTCTGTACCGGACGATCAATGTCTTTCTGTGGAGCCTATGAACTGGTCTGAGGTGGTTTGTGGTGTACTTGTCAGTTTGGTTCACCACACAACCTCCGAAACATTCATCTCGATTCCTAAGGCAATCGTTGAAGCAGCTCAAAGCGATCAAACCAGGATAGAGTTCCCTCTGCGCAATATTATCTATATCAGATGTTTAGGGATAATATCAGGAGTGAGAAAGGGGACACGTATCGTTGAATGGCAGCCCATTCTTGATACTCTGCTGCAGTGTCTTGATCCTATTTCAAAAGACTCGAAGGTTACAGAGACAGTCGAGCCGACAGCAATATGGCAGCAGCTACTAGTCAATACAGCAATTGTATGGCACCAAGCACCGATGGATATTTTGATTCCACACATTACTGAATTCACCACTGTAATGACTCGTGAACCATTAATAAGCTGGTTCATACCATATTGCTGTTATTTCTCAGACTTGGACTCGACTCGTTTCCGCAGCGTATTCTTCAAGTCATTTCAAAAGTAAGCTAGCACATTGCGTCACGCTCACATATCGGATATGCTAACCAGATCCGCAGATTCGTTGTTCAACACTGGTCACAGGGAGCAAATGAAGACATGCTCTGCGTTTTCCTGCCGCGTATGATTGAATCGCGAGCTTTACCATGTGTTCAGGATACAGACACATTTTCCTTGCCGCAGTCGTGGCAAGATCAAATCGTCACAAAGTTCGAGCGATTGGAAATCTCCCCCTTTCCCGAGCGGGGTGCCTCGGGCACCTATGATAAGGACCCCAAAACATGGCGTCACAAATGCCTACCCAAGTACTCCGCCTTGCTCCGGCTTCTGGAAGTGACGACCGTCCGACCATCGACTATTGGACCCATATCAGATGTGCTATTGAGGAAGCTGAAACTTGCTCTAAGGCCGTCCCAATCTCCACTCACCGAAGAAGCACGCTTCATTGTCACCCAAGGCTTTTCAGCCTATCTTCGAATGAGTAAGGCATCTGGGCAACTTGACCATTCTCTCGGTCCTTTACTCAAGGCGGCCACTCCAAGATATTATCGCTTGACGGGATTTCTAGAAGCAATGCTCGAATACGAGATAATGAATACCAATGGTGAGGGCCGGAGCCCCCAGTCTCAGAGCGAGGAAAGTGTCGGCCATGAGGGAGCGCTCGACCCATTCCTACAGTGCCTTGTACAGAGCTTATCAATGCCGTCGCATGATCATCGAATAGCCTCTTTACGCCTCCTTGAGAAGCTCGACACGGCGCCAGATGAAATGGGTTCTCTTGAACTTATGATTCAAACCGAAGAGACACCTGTAGACCTGCAAAATGCTCGTAGCTTGTCGATGCACATGCGCAACCTCGCAATCGCATATTCTAATCTCAACGAGAACTCCTGGCTCCGTTATGCGATTCCGTCATTTCTTTTTGGACTGATGACCGTACGAGTGACTCCAATTTGGGACTCTGCAGTTGAAGCTTTACAACAAATAGGGCAAACGAAATTAGGAGATGAAATTGTTTGTGATATGGCATTTAAATGGATCAAAATCCCGTCGAAACGTTGGGAAGGCGCCACGAAGGGGTCCGCCGCCACGTCCAACTTCAGCCAGACCGAGTTCGAATGCAGAAATTTTTCGAGCCTTCACAACCGAGCTGAGGATGCGGAAAATGTGATCAACAATGCATCCGACGTTATTTCGGAGTCTTTCGAAAAGGGACAAGAAATGGTAGCAGAAACGCCTTCTAATGCACGGTCACAGGCCCTCAAAGTCTTCTTAGCTGCACCTGCACTTGCAGAAAAGAGGTCGCGAAAGCTAGTTCCTATCTTTCTTTCCTGGAATTCAGCACTAGAGGAAGATGATCTTCAGCAAGAATCAGGTGACGAAGATGTTGACAGATCGTGGTCTTTGTTTGACAAGAAAGCTCTGATCAACGTGTTCGCTCAATTCTCAAACCCTAAAGTGCTTTTTCAAAGCCAACAAGTCTATGATGCTCTGCTCATACTTTTGTCAAATGGTGATATTGAGGTGCAGAAGTCTTCGCTTAAAGCGATTTTGACGTGGAAGCAGGAAGGAGTCAAGCCGTACCAGGAGAACTTGGAGTATCTATTAGACGAAGCTCGATTCAAAAACGAACTCACAGTGCTATTTCAAGGGGATAACCAGATCCAACCAGAACACCGAGACGAGGTTATGCCTGTCTTGCTAAGACTGCTGTATGGCCGGACAATTTCGAAAAAGGGCATTGCAAGTGGACGGCATGGTCTACAAGCCAACCGCCTCGCCGTCCTGAGACAACTTACTATTAAGGATATGGGAAGCTTTCTAGACATTTCTCTTGGAAGTCTCCGTGGTATACAGAAAGAAGGAGAAGCCGTTCTGTCTGACGACACCTTTCAACGGGATCTGTTGCCCATCCGGAAGCAGGTCGGTTTCCTGAACATGATGGAAGCTATGATAAATGAGCTTGGAAACAGCGTCACGAATTATATGAATCGTATCTTACCGGCTATTCTATACTGCTTGGTGTCGTCTTGTCGAAAGTTACAGAATACTACAGACGATGAAAGTGGGGAAGAAGAAGAAGCACTGACGCATGTTTCATTATTTCGAACTGTTCGCAGTACTTCGCTGAAATGTGTAAATTCACTGCTCCAAAATGCCCTGGGATTTGACTGGCATCCCTATCAGGAGATTCTGATTAAAGAAGCTGTTAGTCCACGTCTTGAGAAGTTTGCTGTTGAAAACACACAGGGTATATCCGGCATTCTCCAGATGCTCTCTACAATTTCACAGATGCCGAAAACTGCTGTATTTTTCATAGTTGATGACAAGATCATTCCCAAATTAACGGAGCTGTTAGCCTTTGGTAAGGCTAAAGACGAAGCTCGGATATTTTCTCTTGGAATCTTCCGCAACTTGGTCAGGTTATCCCAGCTACCAGCTACGGAATCTGAATTCAACGAGTTAATTGCAGAGGAGATCATTGAACCCAACGTCAACTTGATTCTGGAAACTGTCGGCCAAGTACTTAAGACGGAAGAAAATATTGGGAAAGATCTTCTCCTGGCATGTGTTGAGGCCGTGGTTGAGCTGTCTCCAATGGTTGCGAATTCTCATCACGTTGGAACGTTGATTGACGTTGCCGTGTTCCTGCTAGACCAACCGTCCAAAACAGTCAGTCCAAAAATCAAAAGTGTGGTCCTTGTCATGCTTGAGAAGTTCCTTGCTTTAGAAGAAATGAGTTATGAGCGGAGTATATTAGACAGAATTTACTCAGCAATCGCTTCGCTCTACAGCTTCTTCCGAGATAGGACAAGCCGCGAGACACTCTCAAGCATTCTTACGGCTTTGCTACGTCGACAAAACAAACCGACTTATATTTCCGAGCTCTGCGCTGATATCAATTCCTTCCGTCCTGACCGGATTGACGAGCCCGATTATGATAAACGTCTGAAATCGTTCCAAACTATATCAAAACCCCGAGATATTCCATTTACGTTGCGAGACTGGGAACCACTATTACACAACCTCGTGTTTTATTTAAAACATGATGAGGAATATGGCGTGCTCTCGGCAAATTCTGCTGACGGCCTTTGCATTTTCATTGATGCCATTGTTGCTCTTACTGGCGACAAAAATACAGAGTTCATTGACCTTCTCTCAACCGTTGTTTTACCGTCGCTATACTCAAATGCAAAGGAATTATCGGAAACTGTTCGACGAGAGTCAATGAGAGTGATGGGATATCTTGTTTCTCAGATGCCATCTTGGAGCCCAGTTTCGGATCTTGTGGCCCTTAATCCCATACCGGATGAAAAGGATCCCGATCCTAGCTTCTTTAGCAATGTCTTGAACCCTGCTGCCTTAAGGCAGATGCGAGCCTTACAGCTGCTTTCCAAAGTCAGCGTTCATACTGCTTTGAGCAGTAGACATGTAGCTCATTTCCTGGTACCTCTTCTAGAGCACTTCATCTTCAACCGCTCGGATGATGGCGATGATCACGGTGTAGGTGCTCAGGCCGCAACGACCATATCAGATATAGCCTTTTCTTTGGAATGGCCCCAATATCGAGCCATTTTGCGCCGGTATATTGGATATGTTGAATCAAAGCCTGAAGCTCAAAAGCAGGTGATAAGACTCCTCGGCAAGTTCGTTGACACCCTCACATCTGCATCATCAGACAAAAGTTCTGAGCAAATGGACCTTGATACTCCGTCAAGCCGCAAGTCGCATCTATCCAGAACGCTACCTGCAATTGAAAAGTTTAATGAAGATATCCTTTCCAACATCCTACCGTCACTTCTAAACTATATGCACGAGAAGGATGAGGCAACTGTTAGCTCGCGCGTTCCTATTGGAATTATTCTAGTCAAGATTCTTAAAATTCTTCCTGAGGATTCACTTAATCAGAAACTGCCCGGTGTTCTTACAGACATATGCCATATTCTTCGAAGTAAGGCATTGGAATCCCGAGATATGGCGCGAGATACGCTATCTAAAATGACATCTCTACTCGGGCCCTCGTATTTGGGATTTGTTCTGAAAGAGCTCAGGGGAGCTTTGACCTCAGGTTATCAGCTTCACGTTCTATCTTACACCATGCATACCATTTTAGTGGCATCCATACCCCAGTTTGAGCCGGGAGACATTGATTATTGTCTAGGCGATATCATGGCCATTATCATGGACGATATTTTTGGTGTTATCGGCCAAGAAAAAGATGCCGAAGGGTACACAAGTAAAACGAAAGAGGTTAAAAGTAGCAAGAGCCAGGATTCTATGGAGCTCATTTCTCGCACTGCTTCGATTAACCGGTTAGGTGATCTCATCAGCCCACTCCGATCCTTGTTGCTCGAAAAACTCGATCTCCGCATGGTCCGGAGAATTGACGAGCTGCTTTCGAGAATTACAGCTGGTCTTTTAGGAAACCCCGCCGCAGCAAGTCGAGATACACTGGTTTTCTGCTATGAGGTTGTGCAGCAGGTTTATGCTAGTCAGCAGGCTCAAGCAGAACCGAAAGTAGATCCAAAAATCCGACGATATTTACTTCAGAAAGGTGCCAACAGGAGTGGCGAGCGGGGTAGCGCAAGCAAATACACGTACAAGTTGGTTCGATTTGCTATTGACGTGTTACGGGCTGTTTTCAAGAAACATGACAGTCTAAGGAATTCGAGCAATCTCACCGGCTTCATACCTATTCTTGGTGATGCCGTGGTTGGAGGAGAGGAAGAAGTCAAAATAGCCACCTTCAAGCTTTTGAATGTGCTCACCAAAGTCCCCTTCAAAACTGACGACGCTTCAAAACTTTACAAGGTAACCGCGAAAGAAGCAACGAAATGCATTTCAACTTCAACGTCTCTCGCTGGAGACCTCGCACAGGCTTCGCTTAAGTTGTTGGCTGTCATACTTCGAGATAGGCGCGATGTGGTTATCAAGGATGCTGCCACTGATATGCTGCTTGGCAAAATCAAAGATGATTTAACCGAGCCGCTATACCGTCATGTCACCTTCAATTTTCTACGATCAGTGTTGGATCAGAAGATTGAAACCGCCGTAGTCTATGACACGTTAGACTATGTTGGCAGTGTCATGATCACAAACGACGACAAGAATACTCGCGATCTCGCTCGAGGGGCTTTCTTCCAGTTTCTGCGGGATTACCCCCAGAAGAAGAACAGATGGGCCAAGCAGCTTAGCTTCATTGTTGTCAACTTGAAATATGATAGGGAAGGCGGTCGACTCTCTGTCATGGAGGTCATTCACCTTCTGCTAATGAAGTCGGCTAACGATTTCGTCCAAGAAATTGCGGCTAATTGTTTCATTCCTCTGATTTTGGTTTTGGCCAATGACGAGAGTGAAAAATGTCGCCTAGCTGCTGCTGAACTCATCAAAGAAATCTTTCGCAAGGCCGATAAAGAGCGAACATCCAAGTTTTTGGGTCTCGCGCGGAAATGGCTTGAGCAGGACGACAACCCATCAGTTCTTCAACTGGCGATCCAATCATTTGCGCTCTATTTTGAAGCTCGAGAACCTTCGTCAAAAGACAAGAAGGATTTGGACCAACTGATTAGGGCTCTCGTCACCGTGCTAAATAACTTTTCTACCTTAGCCAAGGAGACAGACCTGATAAAAGTTGTTCTAGAGACCATACAAATTCTTGTTGTGAAACATCCAACCACTGCTCTAGCCCACGATGAATTATGGCGTTTGAGCCCAACTCCTTTAGCTCATTTCGATACACATGTCAAAACATCTGCGGCGCAGCTAATTGTGGCGTACTTGACTGACTTCCAAATCAGTAACAAGAGTGCAGATCACACACACCGCATTCTTGGGTCACATGGGTTACAGCTGGATGCGGCGATGATTGAGCGGCTGATCACAGGTGCGGTTGGCATTTTAAACCCTGGCGTAATAGCACGTTGGAAGAGGAGGCAGGGTAGGAAGTTGGATAGCAAGGATCTTGACACTACAAGTGATGAAGCTCCTACTTCTCAGGAAGCAGCTGATTTAGACGAAGCATTGGCGGCCGAAGCTAGCCGGATCAGTCTCATGCTCAGCAAATACCTGGATGCGGGCACTCGGGATACCAAGAAAGAGACACTGGAGGATGGTGGCGATGAGAGCGAAGCGGAAGAGCCTGATGAAGATGCTGAGTGGGAAGGTCTTGACTCTGAGGACGCAGCCGCCGCAGAACAGCAGGTTTCTTTATACAGCCTGTGTACCTGGCTCTCGGACATTCTCATCGAGGAGACCCGCCCTCGAGCGGCTGCTCTAGTTCCCAAAGTCGCAGCCCTCGATATCGCCTCGATCCTCGTCGCGACCCTACCAGCGGACAAACTCCAGCCCTCACTACACACCCTCTTAATCCCTCTGCACCAGCTAACAGACCCATCAATTCCGATCCCGTCAACTAGTGACGACGCCTTCAAGACGCGACACGAGGCGCTCCGCGCCAAAGCCACGGAGACCATGGACGCGCTGCAGCGCAAATTCGGCACGGCGACGTACACAGCTGAACTCTTGGCGGTCAGGGAGCGCGCGCGCAAGAGGCGCGAGGGCCGCTCGCGGAAGCGCAAGATCGAGGCTGTCACGCAGCCTGAGAGATTCGGGAAGTGGAAGCGGGGACGCCTAGAGAAGAAGGTGAAGAGTAGGAAGGAGAAGGGTATTCAGAATCGGAATCGGAGACATCAGTATTGAGCTATGTCTGTGCAGGTGTAGAAGTGCTGAGAGGGGATTGGATGTTGGAGGAGAGATGACTAGAGTGTATATATGTTGATTGATATGGAAGGCGCATTTGTGAATGGAAAATTAAAAGTACTTAGTACTTTTGCATATAAAAAGATTGACTGATATACTCTTTGATTGTGAGAATTTCATAAGTCGTGATATTGTCAGCTCCAGTAATCACACGCTACATGTAGACCAGGTATGTCATACTCATACATCTTGTTTCCAGCATGCAGATGCACTATCTCTATACTACATTTCCGACAGAGTCCGTCCACTTGACTGATTTTGTCTTCCCATAATCAACCCCGCTGAGATTGTCCAAATGCAACAGCTCCTATCTAAGTCGTGTCATCCCCAACGCCCCGTTATTATGCATTTGTATGCATTTATATACATCTATATATCCAATAGAAGAGAGGTGATAGTACAGGTTATACAAGTACATGGGCTAACCACCTTTTGTGAAACAGAAATCTAACTAAATATCAGTGCGAGATCGAGTTCGGCCTTTCGGGTACTCCTTGAGGAGATTTCTCTCTTTCTGAAGCTTCTTCATGCGAATCTCTGGTTTCTTCTCAATGGGCTCACCGCGAGGAGGCCGATAATAACTGACGACGCCAGGCGTGATCTGGGCAGTTATCTTATGAGGGCATTCGCTGCTGATGAAGCGTGGTCCCCTGTAGTTTGCGTCGCCGGAGACTCTACGGAAGCGGTACCTGCGTTTGTTATAATCTTGGGTGGACGCCTGAGCTGGTGAGTTTTGCATCCGATGCCATGGCTCCGTGGCGTCGCTTGTAGATTCAGTTTCTAGTTGAGCTGTTCTCGATTCTCTTTCAAACGAGGCAGCACTGTCACTAATAGGCTCGCTTCTAATGTCGTCGCCGTTAAACTCCTCCTGGATAGGGTCTTCAGAGCCGTTGGATTTCGGGTCCTTAACCTGGTCGAACGTCAGGGTTTTGCGTCTGGAAAAAGAAGCGTGAGGTATTCACCTCTGATTCACGCTCCAAGTATTGTTTGACGGCCTCAGCATGCTCTATCCATACATTGGAGTGGGCCCTCTCTGTAGAATATTGCCGGCGGGTTGACGGCGTAGTATTCTGGTGTGAAGCGCCTTGCACGGAGGGACGGGTGCCTGAATCTCCAGGCAAGACTGATGATGAGGGCGTAGGATTGGTTGCTTGTGATGAAGGATTCCGCGTCTCACGCAGTTTCTTAGCTTCGTCAGTCTCTCCCTCTCCTCTTGCTGACGCAGGTGTTGCGTCTCCAGCATTGGGCAAGTCGGTTGTGTCGTCTGCCCAGAATTCGATATCTTCATCCTCGCCCAGCGTGCCCCGCTTCACTAGCTGGCCCTTTTCGCGCAAAAGATCCTCGACTGTTATCTTGCGGTCGCCGAAGATATTTAGATTGTCACTGATGATATGGCGATTGCGACATTCCGGACATGAGATGAGAACAGAGCCCTTGTGGTAGCCTTGTTTGGAGACGATGTGAGTCGAGCGGGTATTGCAAGGAATACATGTAAATTTCAATTGATAATGCGGCTCGATCTGTTTTCGGGACTTCTTGGCGTTGGTAGAAGTTGAGGAGGACGTGCCATCTTGGGTTGGTATTGATGGCCTCGGTATGGTATGTGCAAAGCGGGTGGACAGGTGAGGATATAGACGGAGGGCAGACGGAGAGACGGCTCGAGGAGCGCGAAGAACTGTTGCAAGATATTTCAAGCTTATTCTAGACGCCATGGGGGGAATAAGAGGGCATGAGACGGGATACTAATAGTGGAATGAATGAGAAGGTGATGGGGGGAATACCTGGACGTCTTCTTGACGTCTTGTACGCCCCATTCCCATTATTATTTTGGGGACGATAAGATAAGATAAGAAAAGGCTCTTATCGTTATCGTCGTCGACGCTATCTTGGAGGGGCAGTCAATGGTGGGACAGGGAATAGCATCCATTCAAGTGTTAACTCAAAGAGCTAAGCTACTTGGGAGATACTTCTGACAAAGCCCTACTGTGTGTGGCTATAGGTATCCTCGCCCATTTCTACAGTACAACGCAAGGTAGAGGCGTGCATATATGCCTACCTACGTGATTTAAGAGTCTTTGACGAACACAAGTACTGCGTAGGTACCGATTCATTGCTTCCGAGCTTCAACTCGTACCTCCCTACATATGCACATTGGACGGCAACCCATCCACATCCCACATTGCCTCCATTCCTCGGCAAGTACTCGATGCCATGTATATATTCCTGTCCTACATCTGTGCGAACGCGAACGGGTACTTGCTGCCTACTTGATATTCGGATCAGTTACATTCGTATCACCATTCTTCGCCGCGTTTGTTTGGTGCGGCCAAACACTACTACTGTATAATATCTACTTCATTCCGTCATCGTCACCGCTTCGAACTAGCCTTAGCCTCTCTTTGCTTGGGGGACGAGATCCGTATTTGACGTGATTCGACGACGTCCCGCTTCATACCGCACCGCTCTCGCTGCTCTCGTTGTACTGGTATGCCCTGTGTCATCTATACAGGTAGACCACCGCAGCACCTTGGCATCCCGTGCTCTGTCACACACTCTTCTCGAGAACAGCCTGCTGGGTCATCTGTACTTGGCTTGTATCCTTGATGCCGACGACTCCTCTATACTTTGCAAATCGGCATGCACATATCCCGACCCCAATATTGTTCTCTCCGAACCACCGCTTTGTCGAATCGCCCTCGCCTTTTTAGTCGATAATAGGGAGATTGAAGATGATCACAGGCCGGGGAGGCTCGAGCGGTCGAGGCCGCATTCGTCCTCCTCGCAGGGTAAGTTGTGCTCCGTCTCTCACTACTAGTCTCTTTGCGCTGCCTGGGACGAGACTCATATACTACATGCAAACAGACGCTAACTTGTCAACCCGGTGTTCTAGCAACTTGCGCCGCAGTCTGGCAGCAACAAGAATGATTTCGAGCAATTCTGGGCGAAACTCCGCGAAGCTCTACACGACATTCACACCCATAATGCTGGAAATCTCTCCTTTGAGCAGCTGTACCGTTACGCCTACAAGATAGTCCTCATGAAAGCCGGCTCCCAATTGTACGATCGCGTCACGGAATTCGAAGGAAAATGGTTTGCAGAACAAGTCATGCCGCCCATGTCGGCACTAATCACAAAGAACCTCGTCAGCATAACGCTCGATGGTGCGCCTGGAATTAGTGTGATCGAGCGTCGTTCGCTAGGCGAGAAGTTCCTCAGATTTGTTCGCACTTCTTGGGAGAATCATAATATGGCCATGAACATGAATGCTGACATCCTTATGTATCTCGATCGAGGATTCGGTGAAGAGCATCGCCGGCCACCCATATACGCAACTACGATCGGTCTATTTCGAGATAACATACTACGTCGAAACCTTGGTGCAACTGGCTCCAACTACGAGGTCTTCGATATTCTAAACGCCACTATCATTGACCAGATCAACATGGAGAGGGAAGGTGATGTTATAGATAAGGCTCTTTTGCGTAGTTGCGTGTCGATGCTGGAGGGTTTGTTTGAGACAGATGCAGAGGTTGAGTCTGAGCGCCTTTACTTAACCACCTTCGAACCATACTTCTTGCGGACCAGTCATGACTTTTATCGCGTTGAATGTGAGAGATTGCTTCGCGAAACAGACGCGAGTAGTTGGCTCCGCCAAACCCAAAGACGATTAGACGAAGAGGCAGCACGCTGCCAGACCACCATCTCCCCCTTGTCGGCACAAAAAATCGCCAGTGTTGTTGACGAGGAGCTTATCATGAAGCACTTGGATGAGTTTTTGCAATTGGAAGGCAGTGGTATCCGAGCTATGATCGACAACGATAGGCTTGAAGATCTCAGGATTCTTTTTTCCCTTGTATCGCGGGTCGATGATAAGGTCACAAGTTTGCGAAACGCCCTATCTCTTCGGGTTATGGAGCTGGGCAGTGACATCGAACAGAATCTGAATAATACAGATTTTAGTGTCGCTCAAGACGCCAGTGCAAATGCCGGTGCAGAGCCTGCCGGCGATGGAGAGAAATCCAAGCCCAAGACTTTGAACGCTGCGGCTCAACTTACAGCGGCCGCTATAAAGTGGGTAGACGACGTTCTTCAATTGAAGGACAAATTCGATCAACTATGGGCAGCATGCTTCGATCGGAAAGCTGTGATAGAAACAGCTCTGACACGAAGTTTCTCGACCTTCATCAATAGATTTGAGCGAGCACCCGAGTATGTTTCGCTATTTATTGATGACAATCTCAAGCGTGGGCTCAAAGGCAAAACGGAAGCCGAAGTTGATATAGTGCTTGACAAGGCCATTACTTTGCTCAAGCATCTGGGTGAGAAAGACAAGTTTGAGTCGTACTATCAGAAGCATCTAGCCCGCCGGCTACTCCACGGCAAATCAGAAAGTCAAGAAGTGGAGCAGGAAATGATCTCTCGCATGAAGCGAGAATTGGGAAATAATTTCACACAAAAGTTTGAGGGAATGTTCAGAGATATGAATACATCTCGTGAGACTACCGATCAGTACCGAAACCACGTCCGCGGCTTGGGCGAAGTAGAAGAGAATCGGATCGATTTGAACATCTCAGTCTTAGCTGGCAATAACTGGCCCAGAGAAATAATGGGCCGAGCTACAGGTCTATCAACTGAAACGAAAACCAAAGCTACATATCCGCCAGAGATTCAACGGCTACAAAAGAGCTTTTTTGAATTTTATACTAAGAATCGGAATGGAAGGGTGCTGACTTGGCTTGGAAGTGCTGGTACAGCAGATATCAAATGTATCTTCCCGAAGGTCCCTGGCAAGACTTCTGGACCACTTTCTAAAGACAGGCGCTATGAAATTAATGTCTCGACATATGGCATGATTGTGCTGATGTTGTTCAACACCACGAAGAGTGATGAATGGCTATCGTTCGAAGACATAGAAGCCGCAACCAACATTCCTCAGCCAGATCTAATCAACGTTCTTACGTCATTGTCAGTAATTAAGCAATTTCGCATACTCCTAAAGGAGCCACAGACGAAGTCCGCTGCCAAACCCGGTGACCGGTTTACATTCAACGCTGAATTCATAAGCAAGGCAATCAAAATCAAGATCCCATCGGTCAACGCTGCCAACCGAGTTGAAAATGATGAGGAACGGCAAAAGACCGATGAGAAGAACCTAGAAACAAGAAAACATGTTGCCGATTCAGTGATTGTCCGTATCATGAAGTATGTTTCTCTTCAATTCAAATTCCTAGCCCGCAAACTAACAGCACTCCAGGCAACGTAAAGAGCTCACTCATACTCAACTTGTGAACGAGGTCATTCAAGTCTTGAGCAGCCGGTTCAAGCCTGAAATGTCATTGATCAAGGGACAAATCGAGTCCTTGATTAGCCGAGATTACCTTGAAAGAGACGAGCTTCCAGACGGCTCGCCTGCAGACAAGTACAAATATGTAGCTTAGCGACTTCAAACCTGCATATACCCTGTGCTTGTTGTGACCATATTCTTATGAACAGTAATGATTGCATAGCGACACGATCAGCATGAATGAATATGCATTACTTCCGGCTCTAATAGCAGCTTGCATACGTCGGCGTATTTGGTGGACTGTGGGACGTTCTCAAAAGGAAAAGCAGGATCATACATAAGTTCGCGATCCCGCAATAGTAGTGTTGCAATGTCCCATCATAAATAAACTATTATTTCAGTGGCCCGGATGATTTTGATAATTTCTGTAATCAAGCTGCGACTAACTATTCGTTTAGATATGTTGACTCACTAATACGTTAATTCATATATCATTTATCATTCAGTCACCGTTACGGCTATGATGATCAGTCTGGCTCATGGGTTGTGTCCGTTCGCATCTATCCCATTCAACTACCCGCCAGCCTCGTAACTGATATGCAAGCTACAGTTACAACACATCAAGTATCTATTGCCCGCCCGCCATGCGCCGCCTGAAGCCGGGCCTAGACTCTAATAACTACAAGGGTATTGTTGAGTTATCAATTGCCTTATGAATCATTAGCTTTGTCTTTTGTTGGTATTCCTCTTTAAAACGATAGACAAAGACAATAGACAGTTCCTTCTATATGTGGCCCAGGACAATTACGTTGTTCTGACAATGCCCTTAACATTTCGTTTAACTGGGCTTAAACATTGTAATTGTTATATCTGGATCTCGCCCACTGAAATACTATTTAGTCTGGCAATGCCGACGACTTCGCTTGTTGTTACGATCTCAGTCCAGCTTCAATTCATCCGTTACTACCAAAACTATCTTCCCAGTGCTTGATATTATCTATCACAATGAGTGCCAGTAAATCTCAAAATGGTCAACATGCTCGACATGTCCCAACGAGGTCTTCTTCCTGGTCCGTCGGATTTGACGACGAAAACCAGTCAGAGCTTGCCAGAAATAGGAGTAATGCTAGCACTCCTGCTATAGACCTTGACAAACCACTTCCACCAATCCCCCGAGTGGAGCAACGTACAGTTGGTAATAATGAGGAACCTGGCCAACATTATGATATGTCCTCTACTGATCACCGCGACTTTGCGTATACCCAAGGTGGCAGTGCCCAGGCACCCAACATCAGTGCAGCTCAATTAAAACCGGCAAAAAATCTTCGCCGGCCTCGCCGCTACGCCATAGTAGGGCCAGAAACGCTATTTCAAGGTGCCCCTATTTCTTCAACCCCCTCTAAGGGCTCCAACAAATCTAACAATGCTGATAGAGCGGAACAACACATAGCAGCCATCTCAACTACTCCCTCTAAGGTCAAGAGCGAGGATAACAGTGGTAGCGGTGACGAGGTAGAACATCGTCATCCAGCCGTTCTTCGCCCCGGGCAGGCTGCTCGGTCTACAACAGCGAGAGATCAAAGTACTAAGCCGATGTCAGAACACTCCAGCCGTAGTGGTTCAGGGCCGCAAAAGGCATCGTATGCTCAGTCCTCTCGCTGTGACCAGGATGCTACACGCCCAGCTACAAAGTATTCGGCTTACCGTCCTGACCGGTCTGGGATGGACCAGAGGTCACAAGGGCATGTCGTCCGTTCCTCGGTGAGTCTCCATGGTGCCCCAAGCGCTCACTATAAAGATGCTGATGAGGATGATGACGATGCGCGGAGCGCCTACAGTAGCGCGACATACTCATGCACCCCTCGTCGTACGGACTATAGTTCTTCGGCTGAACAGGACTCACTCTCAATACCCTCAAATGACGTCTCATCCTCGCGTGACGTAACTTACGTCGATGGCGTTCCCTTTGAAATGGTCTCGGCACCTGTCACCCCTATTCCCTCCCCCACGCCTGTTCCCACTCCCATGGCCCCATCTCCCGCTCCATCTCGCGGCCGCGGACAGCACGTTTCTTCTAGATCTTCGCGTACTCAATCTCGCTCGCCAAGTCCGGCGTACGGAGCATTGACACCTCACCGGCCGCGCCAAACGCAGCCATCTTTCTTAGAACGTGCACAAGAGCGTCTCGAGAACAGTGTTAACAAGCGTCTTGTGAAAGCAGGTCTCCGGACCCCGCCTAGTTTCAGCGTCCTGAAAGTAGAAAAGTCTCCTTCAAGCGCCTCGTTGATACCGCAGGAGCAAGAAAACGCCACTTCATCGCCATCATTGGCTGAAACATCATGGCGGGCCCGGATAGAGAGGCTTCAAAAACGGAGCGAGCAACCCCCTATCCTACCCCCTCTCCCCAAAAAGCAGCGGAGGAGAGACAGCTGGGAGATCAGCAGTGAGAGTGAGACCGAGCTTATGTCTCGCAACGCGGTTCCTGCCGATGCAGTTAGGAAACGGCTGAACTTGCGCATCAACATTGATGTTGGTGACGGCGCGATAGCTGATGTTGCACAGTCACAAGAGCGAAGTAAGCACTTTATCCCGCGAAAACCTGTTGGTGACGCTGATAGTAATACTTCCACGGAGTACAGCGACGACTCTTTATTCCTCGGCCGCGGTAGCACGAAGCGTAGGGAGAACAGCTCGTTCTTCGCGTCAGAGTATGCTCGGAAACGAGCCGCTAGTATGGCGAGAGGCCAGACTACCGAGCTCAGTCAAGAGGAAAACGGAGAGTCGAAGAAAGCTCAATCTTCAGCACCACTTTCGAGAGAACAGCTTCAGTTTGCTGCTCTGCCATCGCCGGTGGAGGATCTGCATAAGCCTTTCCCGTTCGATGATCGTCGCGACTTGCCGAGCCAGACACTGCAGCATACCTCGGCGAAGAAGGGCGGCATGCAGTTGAGAAAGCCCACGGATTGAGCTCGTCATATTGTGTGTCGTGCTGGGCGTTGATTGCTCAGCGCTGTCGGCTTTACCTCGAGCCCCGATAGGATTGCTCATAAGGAAGCCTCCAAAACGTATACCTCGAAACAAAGTCATAAGAAAAAAAAGATAAAAATGAAAGATAAAAAAATATATATACAGACTGCTGGTGATAAATTGATACCAAAGTAGTTCAGATAGTTTAAGTAAACAATAGACTTTCATTTGTTTTATTTTGATTTTAATTCTGGTGACTCAAGCTAATAGTAACATGCATTTTCGACCACCGTCAAAGACAGTAAAAAATACCCTTGAACCAGAGCAAGATGTTTCCATATCTAGCAAACCCTATCACGAGCCATTAAAGCGAGACGCACCCATTCGCGCTATCCTCAAGGAACAAGCCCCCGTAGATCTGACCCTCATTCAGATTCCTCTCCTGGTAGCCAGAGTTCACAACGTCGGAGGTACCCGTGGGCTTCTTCAGAATGCCGATCTGGTACTGGCCGCCGCCGGAGTTATTGTTGGATAGCTCCGAGGTGACTGATTTCAGAGGCTCGTCGTCCTTGGAGTAGTACACTTGCAAGGTACTGCCGTTCGCGCATTATGTTAGTTTTCATTTGTTCTCAGCAATAATGCACTTTCTGCACATCCCCATCTTTTAACCACTTCCACACGCATAACGACACGTAAAATAGCTACCTGGCGTCTGTGCGTGTGATAGGTGATAATTAAGGGAAAACTCACTTCTTGGTAAAATCTAGTTTGATGGCGAAGTTTTGCCACGCCGTCTCGTCGATCGGCGTCGACCAGACTAGCGAGTTCTGCCGGTTGAGCACCTTGAAGGTGTTCTTGTTTCCGGACTTGCCTATCAGCGTCCCCGTCTGGAAGTTGAATTGGTTGGCGCTGTAGTCGGAAGTCTCGTGCCACACGTTCTAGCAGCGCGTTAGTGCGAAGCGTGAATATATCACAGCAGAGTTTTAGTCAGCGCACTAAATACTCATGTGTTAGATTCAGCTTTCGCTGAGGGTCTTGCTTGACGCTGAAATGAAGCGTGCGGACACCCTTGGTGCCTGGTCCACCCTCGTTGGTGTCGCCTTGGATCTGCAGCCCCGCGCGCCGGAAGCCATTCTGGCTTTGGAAAATCGACTTGTCGTTAATGGTCACTTCGATGGCTTTGGTCGTCGCGTTGTCGAAGCGTGAGCTCGTCACGTTCGGGAATTGGAGGCTCTTGCTGAATTTCTCGCTGCCCCGGATGTAGTCTGGATTGAAAGGGCTGGTGGCGTACGAGTCGAAGTCTGTGGGTGCCAGAGACGACTTGACGAGCCCGTTTAGCACCAATGGACACTTGATAACCCCGGTGCCTCGTTCTTCAAGTGGTAGTGCTGAGGATAGAGATGCAGCTGCTAATAAGCTGCTAAGAAGGATTGTTGAAACCATCATAGGAATATTGATGCCGTGTGCTTAGCCTATGTGCCTGGGATTAGGTGAGCGATCACCCATTATGTTCCGGGAAGGGCTGGCCTTTTTGTAATGATGCCATCGTGAGCGACATGGTAAGCTGCGCTCGATAATCCGGCTATATCCCGCGGGCAGGCGATAACAAGGGAGAGGACGTTCCGAGCAATCTATCCTAGACGGGATTATTGGAAAAAATGCGGAGGAAGTTCAGGGTCTTTCGGAAACATGCGCGTTTACGCCGAACGATCGTCGTGGGATCGGCAAATTGTACCTGGCTAAACCCCTTTCGAGCATTATATGTGATCGTTTTAAGAAACACGTGTATCTCATTGCTGCAATTCACTATCTCCAATGAAATTTCCCTATATGTAATTACTTTAACACTCTTTTTCAGGGGTCCCAGGGCGGGGGAACAAAGAGATACATTGTATATAGTCAGAGAAGTCTAAATGCCTTATACAGCCCTTCTACTACTCTTCCCGTCTTGCAGCTGCTTAATTTTGGTAGCGATCAGTCATTACATCCACTCCTAAGCATTAATACTCTTGGTTTCTAATATAAACTGTATTGGATAGCATTATTTTCTTAAAGCTAAAACTCGTTGCAAATATATAATCATACAGCTAAAACTGCTACATCTGCTAAGACCCCTTTCAGCTATCCATAGTTATTTATTATTATAATGTATATAGTGTACATAGCGTTACTACTAGATTTAAGTGTTTATGCTGTATACGGAGATTATAACCAGCTAAGAGTAGACCTGCCACCCCTTGGATACCGCCCGTGAGGCGTAGGATATACTGCCCGTTTAGCCTTGCTTGTATATTAAGACTTATCTTAAACCACTTAGCCATATGCTTGAAACCTTTTGTTATTCCCCTCTTCTTCTTCATCGCTTTCTTCATTATCCCTTTCCCTATTTTTCATTTCCTCATTTCCTAACTGTCCTTGTCTATTCGTTTCTGCCTCCAAACTTGACTCCTTTCTTATAGGATTAGCGCTTCCAGAATATTTCTTTCTGAGGGCAGCATGCCGTTTCTTTTTAAAACAGAAATTAATATAAATATTGAGAAGAAAGAATCCAACATGAAAAAAGGGACCCCAGGCGTGTGGTGCTATGACGAAATAGACCACTGGGATTTGAATTACGTATATGATCGAGGAGGACACTATTGTTGTCCTAAGCAAAACCCTTAAACCCGATGGTTAGTATCAAGCGTGAATATTCTCCCGTGTCGAAGAAGCCCATATTTCTGATGAATAATCTATAGCTCTGATTAAACAAAATCGTAAGTAGGCCGTGGGTTAGGCAGTGTACAGGCCCTAAAACTCAATTTCCCATTTGCTCGGGGCGCGTCTCAATATTAATGTAAATTGAAATGCCTTGCATTTTGGCTTTCCATTTTAATAACCGTTTCGCCTGGCGTTACGGTAGCTTATCCAACACTTCCCCCCGTATTACCTGATGGGAACAACAACCTGCTCTCCAAAACCAGTAACGCAGCTTTGTATTATTCAAAGACTTGGTTATCCAATGCCTTGATCTCAATAGCGAGTTTAGGCCGTACTGCCAGCTCAGTTCACTAGTATAACAAAGGCAGATGAACTGGGCTTGGAACTGAGGATTCTGATTACAATGATCAACTAGGGCTGCATTAGTCCTTGACCAACCAACTCCTTCTCGGCTGCTGGTGGCTTGACTCGACTCTATATACAACTAGCTACTAGCCCAGACCGCCTAGGTCTCAAGGGCTTGTTTCAAGAAGCGAAGTCTGTATAACCTCACTTTCCAATATTGCCCCTTATTGCCTACATATCTTTGAAAATCATGAACAGCCTACAATGACCTCTCGTCCGGCTGAAGTGCAAGGCGAACTATATATTCAGCTGGTACGCGCTTGTACGCGTGTAGCACCGAGAACCCTCTTGCTACGTTGGATATCTATAGCATTTTTTTGCCACCATCTCAATAGTTGACGTGGTATTGAGGTTTTCGTTTATGAGAACTTTTGGGGGAAATTTTAGCCTTGTAAAAAAGCGTAGGTAGATTTAGAAATAAATAGAAGTCGAAGTGTAATCGATGAGTTAGAAGCACGCGACTAGTCTTCAATCATTAGGTATCTAAGGTACCAATGTGAGTAGGGTAAATAGATACCTGTAGGGCTAGTTCATGACTTATAACTTCGTTCACTCCTCGCAGCAGACTCGATATGATAAAGTCTTTCACTCTATCGCAACACTGAGATGGCGCCTTGTGAGTAGCTAGGATAGTCATCCCAAATGGGTGAGATGAGATGACGCCCAAAGTGGAGAAAGCTCCACATATCACATATCACATATCACATATTACTATCAGTGCCTGACGACATAAGGCCTTGTCGCTTAGGTAATCAAAATACACGTTAAATTTCCATCTAGAGAATGAGGAACAGAACGAAAAAATCTAAATAATAATCAATATACTACAAACTCTTCAAGACGACGAAGAGGTAAAATGATGATAGGTTATAGCTGCATATCTCGTAAATAGATCTTTCATGCGGGTCGCGTTTTTGTTTATTTGTACCTGTTTTCCCTTCTGCTCTCATTGGTTTGATTGGAGTCTCCATGAGGCTCCCACCACCGACCGTACAAACCCAACGACTTACTAACCAGTCGCCTCTGGTCTCCACTCTCTTTGAGTATAAGTTTTAAGTTCAATAATCTTTGCGGGCGCGAGTGAGACCGAGCGACCATGTCGTCGTTGTCAGAACCCATTTGCCAGGTTCGTCTTCACCACATTGACATAGCTCATCCAAAGCGCTCACAAATCGAAAGGCTTTAAACCTATCAGACAGCAAGCCATGCACTGAACCTGCTGTAGTTTGGGATAATCTATTCTGCAGATTTCATGGAAAACAATGCCACGGGCTCTATGCTGGGTACAAGAAGAGGAATGGGGAATTGGATGGCTTGGCTGACGAAGCCCCTCAGTACCTCAAATCGAGTGCCATTCCCCTTGCTAACGAAACCTTCGAACGTGTTGAAGACGAGACTGTCCTGAACGAGATCCATTCTCACCTATTCAAAGAGTACGTCCTCTTGAGCAAGGTCATCGATGCTAGGAAGCTTCATCATAAGCATTTCTACCCCATGAAGCTAGATTATGGGCACCAGGCATATCTCGATACTTTATCAAACCGAAGACACATCGTGCTTCGTGCGCTTGAAAGAGTTGTGAAGCGCACGGCTGAGGTACTCTATGCAAAGGAGAAGTGGTTCGAATGGATAGAAGAGGTCCAGCACCACGAGGAGTCGACCCGCGAGAAGGAAGCCAAGAAGGTCAAACTCGAAGCAGCCATGTTCAAGCGACACTGGAAAAAGATGCAGACCCGCCTTCGAGCCCAACGCGAGAAAGAAGAGAAGCAGAGGCAAGAGGCCTTTCTTGAAAGTGCCTACCAAGAACGCATCAATGCTACCACGGAAGACGACGAAGATGCCGAGATGTGGGATCCCATCGAGGATTTTCTTGAAGATGAGCGCGCCCGATATGTCGATCTCATTAAACATTTTTTATGGATGGAGGTGCTGAACGAAGGAGACGAGGACGAAGCAAAGCAGGCGGCAACTGCCACCACCGACCTGGTCACGGAAACCCAGGACTTGAGTATATCAACTTCTGCTCCGACGAAGAAGACCAAAAAGAAGTCGAAACCAAAAGATGCCAAGAACTCGGCCGCAGCCAGCAAGCCGCCCCAATCGCGTACTGCTGATACTAGACAATCTCAGAGCGAACGCGCTGGCCAAACCAAAATCCTGGATATGATTAACAGCAAAGAAACCGGCCGAAAGGCTGTCGGGAATAACCCAGAGCCAGACAAGACCAATATTGAGACTGAAGAAGAAATGCGAAATCGCCTCAAGGAAGGGGTTGAGAAGAACTACGATGACGTTCGTGGACCTATCTTAGTAGGGTCCTTAGAGACACCCCATGGGACGCACGAAAAAACGCCACCCTTGGAAGATGATGAGATTGAAACCCTGATGCAGGATATCAAGGAGATTAAGATTCTTTTGTTTTGCCGTCTTCTCTTGTCACATGCATCGCTTCTTCCGGCTGCTTTACGGGCCGGCAGCGTGGACGAGTTTCTCAAAGACCCCGAGATCACCGAGGCCGATTTACGTGATATATGTCTCAAGGTCGAACAGCCGAGTCTACAAGATATCAGAGACGCCTGTGCAGATCTTCTTCGTGGAGATGAACCGGAGAGCGAAGAGGCATTGGATGATGAGAATGAGGACATCTCGTTGGAGGACATCTTTATGCATGATCGCCGATACGGCCATTTGCAAGGCGCAATGTGGTATTATGAGAGTATGCTTGCGCAGCGATCTAAGATCTTGGGCGAGCCAGCCATGAGCCTGAGAGAGCTTCTGAAACCAGCAATGAAAAAAGCCGAGAGAGTCAAGGTCCGTGTGCTTGGCAAAAGCATCTGGAACTATTCTAGCGAGTCATCCATGTCCCGTCAAGGTTGGCTACAGTTTTCTGTGTTGGCCAAAGGCTGTGATCTCAGACATGCGGTTCAGTTATGCAGGAATTGGTCTGAATTCTCGGAACTTAATTTCCTCGCTTCTTGGCAGTATTTCCCCGCGTCAAATTGGGTGTCTTGGGGGACGGACCGACTGACCAAACAGCTACACGACTTGGTGAGTTTATTCTATCATATGCATGGATGCGTGCTTATGTTCTCTCGATTCTCTACCGGCTAGTGCTGATTCGTTTTGCAGGGCTTCTTTCCCTTTTTCCTCGATCTTGGCGCCGAGAACTTCAGTCATCACTTCCCGGCCGGCGGTTCTCGGAGTCAACAAAGACGAAGACACGATTTTGTTGAATCGAGAAATATCCTAGTAGGTCACATGAAGAGAAACGACTCAGTCACCCGCCGGTTCCTCCAATATGTCAGTATGCGACCAGGTGAGCTACTACTAGTTGTGCGGGACGGAAGAACAGGCAAGATCATAACGGCACCTCGCAATGAAGATTCGTTTTGGACCTTGCGATCCAAGCATGGCATAGGGCGTGCGTCCAAAAACGAATGGGATATTCATCTCAGCATTGGACCAGAGTACTTCGAATTCGTGGAGCAGCATCGGAACTGGCATCTGGGATTTGACGATTATTATGAAGTTTGGCTATGGCATTTCGTCCCCGGAGAGGCAGGAAGTATGCTGTATAATGTAGTTGTTGAGGTACGTGATTAGTACTACAGAACAAGATGGAACGCGGCACTGATGACATACAGGATCTTCGTAAGGCTTGGCGCATCGCGAAGCCAAACGATATTTACAATCACCAGGAGCATTTCCTACGCACGCTCACACGAAACGAGAAGACGCAACGGGTGCGTTTGATCAAGCCTGAAGAACAAGCGAAGAGCCTTTGGGATGATGTGCGGAACCCAAATAACATATTTGTTCTAACAGATCTCTCGAGCCAGTCTACTAAGACTTTTCAAGGCGACAATACGGGAAAGGTGGCACCGCACATATTCTACAACGAAGCTGACGCAGAAGAAGATACCGTCCTTTTCCCAGACGAACTGTTAGCCCCTAATCCTAATATGCCGTTCAAAGAAGTTAGTAATCCGATCACACGGCTTGAAGAAGGCGCCGGGGATATGAACAGGTATCTTACAAAACTGAGCATGGCGGCCTTCCGTTCTAAGAATCCCTTTCCAGGCGAGTATGGCGATAGTGAAGAGTCCGTCAAATCTGGCGATTCGGTCTACGATCATGACGATGGTGCCCTTGACCTCGAGCCGATGGAAGACCCTTCAGGTGACGACCTCGAGGTTGTAAAACATTGGCGTTCGCCACGCTTGTGGGAAGACGAGATTACGAGGATTAATGAAAATGGCATCGATTACGAAGCGAAGAAAAGGTTTTCGAATGTCGGGCTACTGGACCTGCGGACTGGGGAAGCTCGGAAGGGCATGAGTGAAACAGACTTTATTAAGAATATACGCCAGTTTGATCAAATGACGCTGTCAGAGAAAGACCGTGGCGCTGGTATGTCATTATGCCTGATCATTCACCCTTGTACGAATGCTAACGCGTTATAGCCTTCCTCAAAGCTTTTCATGCAGGTGATCTTGAGCCTGATGGGCCGAGAAAATACGAAGAGACGTGTGCCATCGTTGACGGTATCTTGAATCAACAAGGAACCGATGGCAGCCAAGCTTGGTTCTGGTTTGCATTGGAAATCTTCGAATGGCTTAAGGTCAGGGCCCATTACGCTGAGTACACCCAGGATATGATGGCTCCCTGGCCGCATCCGTTCATCACTCAGGATATTATGAAAGCTTGGGCGTACATGGCAATCTTCTTCCCCGATCTTGAGCAGTGTCGGCCCGCCACTCAGTTCTTCGAGTCCGAGGAAGGTCGGCAATATCAGCAATCTCCTCTTCGGGATCTGCGTCAGCGCGCCTCAACTCTGCCTGATAGACGCACCAAGACAAGTTTCAAGTACAGACCGAAGAAATTCTGGAAGGAGTGGGATGACATTCTACAAGAATGTAAAAAGACGGGGACTTACTTTGCGGACGCTATGCCGCTGAAATGGAGCGTCGTTACTCGCCCCATTATCGCCAAATGTAAGCAACCTCCCCCTCATCCATGCGCGTACCCCTTATCATCTAGACAACTGATTTCTAACATCATCGCAGTATACCTCGCCGGCATAGTCTCCCCCGTGCTCATGCAAAACAGCCCTCTAGTCGTCCCAGGGTTCGCAGTAGCCAACACCGAGCCGCACCGCCCCGACAAACTAGACTTGTTCATCGACTACGCGGATCGGCAGAAAGCAAAGCCGTACCCGACGGACATTCCAGGGCTCGTGCGACCGGAGGATTTCCCTTCACTTCTTCCGATCGCGCGCGACTTCGCAAAGACGAATGCAGGGGCGCGGTTCGCTGTACTCCGCCTCTGGTCCGCGCCGCACTTCTACCCCGCGATGCTGGGCGACGGCAACAAGATGGGCACGGCGTTCCTGGATAGCTTGTCGCGCGCCTGGCGGTGGAACTTCATACCCAAGGATATGCCTGTTTCGGAGTGGAGTATGTATAATAACATCAAGATCCGTCTCGATCTCATCAAAAAGCAGCTCGGCGATCGCGTCGCGCACCGCGATGATGTCGTTCTTGTCATGGCCGTCGACCAGCTTGATCTGCTGCGGCATGCTGTGGCTGTCACCTTTGCGATCCAGACGAAGCCGTGGTTTCGCGAGTTCGATCTCTGGAAGAGCTTTGTTAATGTCGATATTAAGTTTTTGGAGGGGCTGGACCCTTATTGGCTTAGTTGAGTCTTGTTGGGAGACTGGCTAGCATCTTCATGGTCTTGAAGTGTGTATTTATGCAGGAAGCTTCAGTGTGTAATCTATTGATGATAATGATGATCATATTTGCATAATCATGAAAATTTTTAAAAGTAAGGTCTGAAGTTCCCATCGAATATGCTGGGGGGGGGGGGGGGGGGGTTGATTTTGATGTCACGCTGCATAGGACAGCATCATGGAAAGATACCGGAGTGAATTAAGGACTAGGCTATGGTTTGTATAAAGCTAGTCACTTTGCCACTCTCAAGAGAAGCTAGCTCGGCTAGTTATATGGCATACCCTTTCGTTACACATGATTTCCATCTTCGCTCGTCAGCGAAAATAATAGATTTGATGTTATACGGGCGCAAACGTGATGAAAGCGCGCCAAGCAACTTCGTCGGGGCTCGCCAAGAGATAGCCGCATCGATGCTTACCATCCCCTTCAAGTGTCTATTGTGTATTATGTAAACAGTGATTGTATTGCCATTTTCTTTCGTGACATTGATGTGACGATAGTAGGTAGATACCTACTCGGAATTGCCAAGTGTACCTTTGACGAATAGTTTGGATGCTGGAGTCACTTGATTCTACCTAGCTCAGAGCCCAGCTGGCCTAGCCATGGCACCCGCGATGTATTGATACCAAGTCATCTCATGACTTCTCCTATAACTCCGGCACACTTATGATTAAATGCTCGCGACCGTTCAGCTCACGTAATGAAATTGGCAGCGAACCTTCATAGCCACCGCTCTGCCACGGGCGTGAGGGCCCGAAGTGGAGCCACGCCAACCCCACGCTTTGCGGGATACGAAATACGGAGGCGGGCTGGGGCTAGACCCGCGAATCAGGCACCAGAGATCGGCATTCGGTTCTATCGTTGTCATTTAACTATCAAAAGATGCGATTAGTCGAGCATGGTAGGTAGGTCAAAGAATACCTAGTCCAAGAGGCAAGGCACTTTTCTGCCGAAAGCAATTGTTTGTACCTAGTCTGCCCTGACAATGGTCTTGCCTGGTGTGTTCTTCGGGATGGTCGTATTGTAGATAGCGACGAAAAATGGGATATATAAGGAGGCATAGAATCCTCCTTCTCAATTATCAATAGCATTCGAATAGCCACAACCAATTCGTATCATCATCACCTTGTATTGCTTAGCACTGTCTTCACTAGAGGGTACGAGGAGCAAAGTACACGAAAACCATTCACCAAGATTACTTGATCTGTTGCCCAACCTACCAACGCGAACATCTACATCACCAATTGTTTTCACGATACAACTCGAAACTCTCTAACAAATCAACTTGTATCGCAAGAGAAAAAAAAACCCCCCAATCATTATGTCTCATCACGTAGCCCACATACCGCCCGAGCTCTCGGATCTACATTGTTACACTGAGACAGATGGCGTCATCACAACCACAATGTTCGATATCCCAGGATACAAAGTCATAAGAGTCCTCGGCACCGTATACGGCCTTACAGTACGGTCGCGAAACATTGCCGCAAGCTTAGGCATGGTCCTCAAAAGTATGGCGGGCGGCGAGTTGAGATGGTTCACGAACATGGTAAGTCCTGACTGTGATGGTCAGACAGAATGCGAACAGACAAACACTGACCTGAGTAACAGCTTTATTCTGCACGGAATGATGCCATCTCAAGGGCAGTAGCCGAGACGAAGAACCGCGGAGGCAACGCCATCATCTGTCTCCGTTTCGAATCCGGCGACATGGGCGGCTTTGCGCAGTGCTGCGCGTACGGAACCGCGGCTGTCATTGAGAAGATTGATCCCGCGGTCGAGGCACCGCCGCAACTTGCGAAATAAGGATACCCGAGGGTTTGGAGCATCGCATGGTCAGCACGGGTAAAATTGGAGAACCCGCGTGGATCGCAAGTATGATCACGTCATTGTTTGATGCATTGTTAGTTAGTACAGTATTAGTGATACCAGAGTGCTTTAGTCAATATTCATATTTTCCAATCTGAACTTTTCATTAAATCTCATGAAATAAAGGCACTCATACGTAAGGTGTAGAATTGTGGTTTAGAAATTCAAAAAGGTGACATACTATTTCAGCATCTTAAGAGGTTGACATTTAACGCTTGGCATCGGTAGTTAGGATTAGGGGCTCCAGCACCTAACCTCAGTCAGTAATAGTGCTCAAATAGTGCTGTGGGTTATTGACAATAGCACCCAAGCCACAGGATATTCCAAGCGTGCGCCACATTGCCCAGGCGCCGGTTGGTTCTGACACATCGCCTGGACGACTCCAAGCTACGCGCAACCGCGAGCTAGGTGGCTTGATCATTATGCTTAATCATTCATCTGGTTAGTTATTGTACATTATTCACGATTGATGTGTTCTTGATACTGGGTATAGGATCGGTTGAAACCGCGTTGGTATCATCGATGCAAACCTACAGATAAGCATCAGATGGCATCCCTGGATCGCGAGGTGAAAATGGGTATGTATAGCTGGCCATGGCAGCTGTATCACATCATTCATGAAATGACACTGAGCTAACATCCCAGAAGCCTCACCACGCCCTTCACGCGACTCTCTTTCCTCGGTTTCCACGACGAGCCTTGTCTTCGAACGTATTGGCGAACGAGAGAAAACCGGCAATGGCTTCACCAATCGCGAGCTCTCCGACTCGGATCATGACGATTCCTTCAATAGCACTGCGTACGACGATGAGCGGGCTGCCTTTCTAGAATCGGCCACCCCGGGGAAGATTCTTGGCATGGACATCAAGCTCAAGCGCATATTGCTGCTTGCATCTGGCATTCTCGTTGCTGCCTGGGTCATCGGACTAGCCATATTCGTCTCGTCCAAGTCCTACCAGCACGCCTCCGAAAAAGAACATGACCCTACCGCTACCGCCTCGCGTGGCTCCGGGAAGCGCATCACCTTAGATCAAGTCATGACTGGCTTCTGGAAACCCTACAACCATCAGATGAGTTGGATTGACGGTGCTAATGGCGAAGATGGGCTTTTACTGGAGCAAAATGCGCCGGGTAAAGACTATCTTGTTGTGGAGGATGTCTTGAGTCGAAACAGCGACAACGTTGCACCTAGCGTTCAGATCACTTCTTCCAAGACCCTGATGGAAAAGGCCTTTTTCGATGCTGCTGGTCGGACCTTAACACCTGAACAACTCTGGCCTAGTCCTGACCTTAAGAAAGTTCTTATTGCAACTGGTGTTATTAGTGTTTGGAGGCATTCATTTACAGCAAACTACTGGATATTTGATGTAGAAACCCAAACTGCCGAGCCTTTGGATCCTAACGATTCGGCCCGAAGAGTTCAATTGGCACAGTGGAGCCCTAAGAGCAATGCCATCTCCTTCACGAGCTCAAACAACCTCTATGTTCGCGAACTCGACAGCAAGAAAGTAGTTCAAGTTACCAAAGATGGCGGACCTGAATACTTCTATGGAATTCCAGACTGGGTGTATGAAGAGGAAGTCTTCGGCGACAACAGCGCTACGTGGTGGTCTACTAACGGCGACTTCATGGCCTTCCTGCGAACAAATGAGACGCTTGTACCTGAATACCCCATCCAATTCTTCATTGACAGGCCAAGCGGAGAGGAATTTCCTCCGGGTAAGGAGTCATACCCGGAAGTTCAACAGCTCAAGTATCCAAAGGCAGGATCACCTAATCCTTTTGTTGATCTTCTGTTCTATGATATGGCTAAGGGCGACACATTTTCTGTGGAGATTGAGGGAGGGTTTGATCCAGAGGATCTCCTCATCACTGATATTACATGGGCTGGGAATCAAGTGCTCATCAAAGAGACTAATCGAGTTAGCGATGTCATGCGTGTCGTCCTTGTAGATGTTACTGCACGAACAGGGAAGACTGTAAGGACCGTTGACGTGGGTAAAATTGACGGAGGCTGGTTTGAGATATCTCACGACACCACCTATATCCCAGCCGATCCGGAAAATGGCAGACCCGAAGACGGATATCTTGACATGGTCATCCATGACAATGGGGATCATCTTGCCTATTTCAGCCCACTTGACGCAGATGAGCCTGTTATGCTAACCTCGGGTAATTGGGAGGTTGATGATGGTTCATTAGCCGTCGATTTGAGCACCAATGTGGCGTACTTCACTGCCACAAAAGAGTCCTCCATTCAACGACACGTTTACAGTGTCAAGTTTGACGGCTCAGATCTCAAAGCCTTCACTGATACTAGTAAGGAGGGCTTCTATAGTGCCTCCTTCTCTCGCAAGGCAGGATACGCTCTGATCACTAATCAAGGACCCAACGTGCCTTCTCAGAAGGTAGTTAATACTCCAAGTAACCCGACCTCTTTCGAGCATATGGTTGAAGAAAATAAGGAACTAGCAGACAAGGCGAGGAAACATGAACTTCCATTACTTAAATACGGAACTATAACTGTCGATGATGTTGAGTTAAATTACGTCGAACGGCGCCCACCGCATTTCAACCCAAGCAAGAGATACCCTGTCTTGTTCCAGCAGTACTCGGGCCCAGGTTCGCAGTCCGTGACCAAACGATTCACGGTTGACTTTCAATCTTATGTAGCTGCTAATCTCGGCTATATCGTTGTAACGGTTGATGGTCGTGGCACCGGGTATATAGGACGCAAGGCTCGGGTCATAGTTCGCAAGAACTTGGGCAAATGGGAGGCTCATGATCAGATCGCAGCCGCCAAAATCTGGGCTGCAAAGTCTTACACTGATGAGTCGCGAATTGCCATCTGGGGCTGGTCGTATGGTGGATTCCAGACCCTGAAGACACTCGAGCAAGATGCCGGCCAGACATTCCAATATGGCATGGCTGTTGCGCCTGTTACCGATTGGCGATTTTACGATAGCATCTATACTGAGCGATATATGTTGACGCCGCAGGAGAACCAAGCGGGATACGACGCCACTGCCATTAGCAATATGACTGCACTCGCTGGAAACGTGCGCTTCCTCATCATGCATGGCGTCGCTGACGACAATGTCCATATGCAAAACACCCTTACCCTCCTTGACAAGCTAGACCTAGCCACCGTTGAGAACTACGATCTGCACATGTTCCCCGATAGTAACCACGGCATATACTTCCACAATGCGAACCGTATCGTATATGATAGTAAGTCCGTCCATTCATGATTTTCGATGCGAGCTCGAGTATATCAGCTCCTCCATCATTGAGCAATCACTGACGCATTACAGAATTAAGCAACTGGCTCATCAACGCCTTCAATGGCGAGTGGCTCAAGGTTGCGAACGCAAAACCTGGACAGGTCTCATCTTCCAAGGCGAGAGAGAAGAGGAACGGTGTCGAGGAGCTGAAGGCTGGAGTCGAGGAGATACGGAGAGAGATGGGGCATTGATTACAGGCGGTCGCATATTTCTGCTTTCCAGGCGCATTCGTGAGCAAAGATATTAGTTACAGGCGTTAGTGGTGTCCGGTTTGCATTTTTGATTTTTTGGCTGTAAGATATACTTTATATATACTTATTAGAAGTAGATGCAATTCTATGCTAGTATGTCCATGGGATGGCTAGTGATAAGGGACGAACTCCGATATATTCACCTATCTTAGGTAGTATAAGCGATGGGGTGGGCGATATCGCCACGACCACCCTACCTGCCATCAGTGCCAGCCCTCCTTATAGAAATCAAGGGGGCAAGACGCAAGACGCGTTCAACGCGCGCATCTTTATCTATTAAACGTCAACGCCTTCAACAGAGACCTGAAGTAAGAATTCCCTCATTTAGGAGAGACTATGATAGTCATTTCGTTGAGAGTACCCATGACTTTATGTGTATTATTGTCCAAATCCTCCGTAAATCTTCTCCTTGCCGCATCTTTTTAACCATCCTATCGAGCATTCATATTCTGATATCCAAGTTAGTGTGCATCTTCAAAGTGCTGCTGCAGTACAGCAGAGCTTATCATATGACCTGGTATATACTGTGTTGTACACTGTGTCATAGCTTGTGCTGGTGATGGATGGAAACGGCCTTACCCGTTCAGACTGCACTTCCGTCGCCAACCTTCTGACTTCTACGGGACGCAGAAGGTTGGCGACGGAAGTGGAGTCCCAACGGGTATTTCAAGTGGACACTATCTCGAGGGCAGATCGCGGATAGCTGTCAGAATCTTGATACGAAGTTCGCAGTACCGTGCTTTTCGAGCTTCGTTGTCAGATTGTTCCCGCCGCAGCTCATTCCCTACGAGCCTTTCCATTCTCTTCAATGAGAGACTCGACAGTTGGTCCTCGACGCCGTCCAGATCCTGGAGCCTCCGTCTCAGCTCGGCTTTAATATCTGCGACAGTGTCTCATTAGCGAGTCTCCATAAAGAACCTTGTAGACTTCATATAGCTCACCGCCTGGTTTATGATCAACCTTGAGTCCCCCGCGGCGTTTTGCCGCGCCGAGGAAACGACCCCATTTCCTTATAGGAGCCGCCACTAGGGGCCCGGTAGCGGTCCCATGTGTTGCCGATAGAAGATCATCCACTTTGGCCTCCAACTCGTTCAACCGCTCAACCCATTCTATCATATAAAAATCTTCGGCTGTGCTAACATCCTTCAGATCCACGAACGAGTCAACGTATGCGTTAAACACGTCGAGTTCGTCGAGAGTAGGGTCCCCTAGAATGACATCTGAAACTAGTCCGTCTAGCACATAAAACCTCCTTTCCCCAGTGGCATGGCCTTGTACCCTTAGATCGGCGTCCACGTACCCGAAGACTTTGGCTGTCGTGCCGTCAGATAGAACCACAAAGCCTTCGTCGTCTGGAAGACGGGTTATATCCCAGCCGCGGAATTTGGCGTATTCATGAGACACCAGATCAATGTCGGACCCGGTATCGGCATTGGCGAAAACGCGCTCGGAATCGACAAGGCATTCGAGCTTTTGCCGGGGACGCTGCATATACATAAGTCGCCATGTCCGCCTCGCCAGATCTGAGACAGCCTTCTTGAGGCGATGTCGGAACCTGGTAACCGTCTCGGTCATATCCCGCAGAAAGTGATCACCGAGTACAAGACCCTCGGGACAATTCCTCACGATCGAAAACGTGCAAAGCCATGACTTGAGAGGATCGTCGGGGAATGAGACTCGTAGAGACGTCTCCCCGACTGACTTTGACTGCACCCCTAGGGCGTTCGTGAACACACATTAGCAAGCGGCGGATCGGTCGATCCGTGCTCCCAGTGTCTTTGCCAGTTGCTCTGTCATTGCATTGCGGGTCGCATTTGTATCAGGCAATCCATCGATACGCTTGCCTCCTATGAGTACGGGCAGGAACGAACGTTCTATCGGTCTTTGATGAGCGGTTCTTACGTCGAAATCCACGCCGACATGTAGCTTTCTCGTATTATGCACTCTTCGTGGAGGCTCGCCATCTACTTCGTTTAATGTATCTGTCGATCTGTAGCCCATGATCGAGGCCTAAACATGGTAAGTATCAGATCAAGCAATTCTAGTGGGTATGGATAGTCACATACATACTCTATAGCCCACTCATAGTCAGCCCGGAGCAGTTCATTGAGCTCCTCAGGATTGCTAGGCAACGGGACCAGATCAAAGGGCAAGACGGAAAGCGCCTTGGCGAACCTTTTCCTTCCAAAGCGTCTCCAAATCTTGTTGATACTCTGCAGTAGCAGTGGCTCCCCCTTTCCCCCCCCCACCTGACCCTTGTTGGTGGTGGTGGTTGATTCTGTCTTCTGGGACGGTTCTTCGACTAATATCGATATTTTATAATTATTGCCCAAGAGTCCCACGTCAGCGTTAACGTCGAGGGAGGCACTGGCTTTCTCGAACTCGGGATCAGGGACCATAGAGGCATCAAAAGTATCGCGGGCCAAAAAAATCTCGTGCTCCCAGAAAATCTTGTGGTCGCAGGGAAACTGCTCCTGGGTAGGTTTCGAATAGTTCTCAAAGCTCTCCATCGCAATATTGGATAAGGCTGTTGACCGACAGTTGTTCGATTCGAGTCCTTGCTTACACTACAAGGAGAAAACTGGTGAATTTACAATCTACTTGAATTGATTGAATATTATGTTGGGGTTTGGATATGGCAGCACTCGTTGGAAAGGTGAAGAGGTTATATGTGGCGATAAGGATGTCTAGTGAGCGAAGCCCCTGAAGTGGGGGAGGGGCTATGCAGGCAACTGGTCGCCTCGTTTTGGAACCTTGTAGTGCAGCTACTATAATGTCAGCGATCAGCTGAAGCTCTCGAGGACCAATCAGTATTGTTGACCCCAGGCATGCGTATACTTACACGGTGATGGGATTCCCTCTAGTCACCGAGCTCTCTTACCACTGAGCTGAAAGCCGGATATATCTTGATCAAAAACGACCATAAAGTCACGTCCCAAGAAAATGGGCCATAACGTAGAAGAAGGGAATTCCATATACCATTATGTCTCTGGCTTCGGCTCGTTTTCAGATTTTATTGCCAGCGACGAGGACAAAAGCACCGCGGTTTACAATCAGTTCAGCAGATTAGCGGCCAGGGATCTAGTATATTATCAAAGCGAGCTGGCAGAGCTTCAGGCTCTGCAGGACCAATACGACATTGAAGATGCGAAAGACGTTGAGGATCTGCAGAAGCTCGATCTTGGGAGTATTATCAGGGCACACACTAGAGATTGGGTAACGTTCAAGCACTCAGCTTGGGGCCAGAGCAGACCAAACACTCATCTGGTGCCAGACGAGCGGTGGAAGAAACGGATGGATCTCGCCATGGAGATCCGGGCAACATTAAAGGACTACCAAGAGGCTCTCATCCGCCAGTCGACTTTGGCTAGTCTACCCCGTCCATCAAGGCAGACGATGACGGCGCTGTCGAACTACTTCCACACGCGGGCCGTTGTCCCACATGCGACTCCTTCCGCCGCGCAGCAGCAGACTACAACGACGTACCCCATTCTGACGGGCGCGAGTTCGAAGCTCTACGCGACCGGTATGACGGAAGCGCAAATACGTCTCTCAGATTACATTTCGCTCTCACGGCCGGCGGAGGCTGAGGATCCCCTCACGCACTTCCTCAAGACGTACTGCTCGTGCCTGTTCAGGGAACGCATAGAGCCCCTAGAGTTTCCCTCTCGGGCAATCTCTCACCTATCAGCGCGGCAGGTCGTGCGGTACTCCCTTACGCGGATTCAACTAGCGGTATCCTTCATCACGACTTTCTTTGCTGCCGTGCTACTCTTCCTACCTATCGCAGTCCTTCCCATATCATCGTCACAACATGAGACACTTGGCCTCATCGCGCTCTTCGTCGCTCTATTCGCCATTGCCATCATGCTCATGACGAACGCTAGGCGGGCTGAGGTGTTCGGTGCCTGCGCCGCCTACGCTGCCGTGCTTGTTGTGTTTATTAGTGGAGATTTCGCAGGTGGGGGGAATAAGTAGGCAAATTGTCTTGTCACTGTCGACTGATGGTGTAGGAGGGGTGGAAACGACCAAAAAGCGGTCTCTAGGTACGATTGTTTAGACTTTCAAGCCATATTTACTGAGTAATAGTAAGTCGGTACGCCACAAGCCTGGTGCGGATGCTGAGGTGAGCTTCATGACCTGAAGTAGTTACCTGGCGGTATGGCGTTCTGCTTATCTTCTATTGCAACCACGAGCTTAGAGTATCTAGGCGCTAAGTTGATTCATGAAAAATATGATTTGTTGCTGCACGAGGATTCCACATCACCTTCGTGCTTACGCCATGGTTGTTTGTGCTAAGCGCCATCTTTCATTAGCCTCAAGTAAGCGATTCTACATCAACAAGTTAGAAGAGGCGACATTACATAGGTAATGTTTCACTTCCCACGCCATGTAGAACATATGTCTCAAGAGCATCATGCATGGCATTACAAGTTCTGGGTACACTAAGCACCTTGTATGTCTTGAGTCTGCAGACTGTGGTGACGTATCGCAGACAAGGGGGGTCTCACCATGTACAGAAGTGTAGATATCTACCTCTAGATGGGTGAGCAGCTCGGAACGGCCGACACGTAACATCCATCTCGCTACACGATTGATTGCCATCGCATTCGTATGAACGACGTACCGGATCCACTAACCACCTCGTTGGGTACACAAGAGAATGCTAGAAGCCCTCAGTGACCAATATGAGCCAGTCGCTTAGAAACAGACACGCCCTCCTCGGCCCGACGAGCCTGTAACAATGCCTCAATTGACTTAACATGAACTGGAGTCCTATTTTTAAAATATCAATCATCTAAATCCTCTAAAAGGTTTCCCCTGCGAATGTAGTATAAAATAACGGTTAACGAAACGGTAATACACGGCGTTCCGAGAGACTCTGCCACCACAATCGCCGAAGACAGTAAGGGAAATAATTCAAACAGAGAAGAGATGAACAGGGACTCGCAAGACCAGCCCAAAGTTGGCGCTTCAGATTCAAACCCAGAACCAATTGCGATTTGTGGTCTCGGTCTTCGTCTTCCTGGCGGAATACGCTCTGGCGAAGCCTTCTGGGATGTTATTTATCACGGCAAGGACCTCCGCGGCCCAATCCCGGCGGATCGCTTCAATGTAGAAAGTTTTGGCAACTCACTCGGCAATAAGGCGGTGATTAAGACACGTTATGGATATTTCCTTGACGAAGAGCTCGGTGTATTCGATCCCTCATTCACCAGCATAAGTAGGGAGGAATTAGCAAAGACTGATCCACAACAAAGAAAAGTACTCGAAGTCTTTCGAGAATGTCTTGAGAATGCGGGAGAAACGAATTGGCGATCGCGCCCTATTGGTGTGTACGTCGGTACGTTTGGAGACGATTGGCTTCTGAATGTCTCTCGAGAATCTCAAATTAAGGGGGGATATAACCTCTGTTGCGACCTCATGATTGCAAACAGAATCTCATATGAATTTGACTTACAGGGGCCAAGGTATGTCGTGTTCTCTTCATTTAACAGTCAAAGGATTCTTAATCCTTATCGTCAATAGTCAAGTTATCAAAACAGGATGCAGTGCAAGCCTTATCGCCCTTCACGAGGCATGCCGAGCTCTCCAAAATCGTGATTGTAGTGCAGCTCTCGTCTGCGGTACTTCGCTCATCATGGGACCGTATGTTTTCTCAGTCATGAGCAGCGAGGGAATCCTCTCTCCGGAGGGATCGTGCAAGACTTTTGATGCTAGTGCGGACGGGTTTGCCCGGGCCGACGCCATCAACGCCGTGTTTCTCAAGCGCCTCCCTGATGCTATCAGAGATGGCAATCCGATACGTGCTATCATCCGCAATACTGGGAACAACAGTAATGGTAAATCTCAGGGACTGTTCTCGCCAAAAGCATCCGCACAAGAGGCGTTGATACGCCATGTCTATGCTTAGGCACATCTCAACCCGGCTGACACGGGCTTCATCGAGTGTCATGGCACTGGAACACCGACGGGAGATCAAATAGAGACCTCTGCAATAGGAAACGTCTTCGGTGAAAGAGGTATACTTATAGGCTCCGTATGTATCGTCCCTCCTAGCTTACGATTTGTTCTATCTCAAACGAGATCACTTTGATTAGGTAAAGCCAAATGTTGGCCATTCGGAGGGAGCGAGTGGACTCACTAGCTTGATCAAAGCTATTACATCTTTGGAACACCAGACCATTCCCCCAAACATCAAGTTCTCGACACCGAACCCAAAAAGTAAGGGTCTCTCCTTTATCTCGCTCTTTTAGCACAACTAGAACCTACGAAGGCCATCTTAGGGGAGACTTACTGACTCACGATGCAGTTCCATTCACGGAGAAAAGCCTGGTGGTGCCCATCAAACCGATGCCGTGGCCAAAAGACCGAGCAGTAAGGATATCTATCAATTCGTTTGGTATAGGGGGTAGCAACGCACATGTCATTGTCGAAAGTCCAGCTCAGTACTTTATGGATAACCCACAGATCAACCTTCCGCACCAATTGGTATCTACACCAAGTCTTTCAACGTTACCTCGGTTGCTGGTCTTTTCCGGAAATACAGCCGAATCTGTTAATACCATCGCAAAACAAAGCATTGCCTACAGCCGGCAGTACCCCGAAAGACTGAACGACTTGGCATATACACTCGCGAGCAAGCGTGAAAAGCTTAGCCGTCGGTCGTATGCTCTGGTATGGCCCCGGGGAGAGGGGAATGTCGAATTAGCACCTGTTGTCAAAACGCTTATTCGTAAGCTTCCACTCGTTATATGCTTCAGTGGTCAAGGAAGCCAGTGGCCTGAGATGGGTCGGGAATTGCTCAAGAGCCACTCCATCTTTTCCGAGACTATAAATGAATTAGATTACGCTTTGAAATCCTTAAAGGCGCCTCCTGACTGGTCGCTAAGAGGTACAGTATATCAGACCCCGTAGCTCGGAGTTTGAAGTTTGACATATGACCTAGATGAGCTCCTGAAATCGGAAGAATTGACCAGAGTCAAGGAAGCTGAACTATCACAACCTCTTACTACAGCGGTACAGGTCGGTCTTACAAACGTACTGCGACGACTAGGCGTCATCCCTGAAGTTGTTATCGGCCACTCGAGTGGTGAGATAGCAGCCGCACATGCTGCCGGCCTTCTGAGCGCTGGCGACGTAATCATCATTGCCTATCTCCGGGGATGGGCCACCAGATTTCAGACCACCAAGAGCGGTATGGCAGCAATTGGGCTCGGTGTTGACGCAATCAGGCCGCATCTCCCTGATAATGTTGTTATCGCGGCGGAAAATAGCCCACACTCCGTTTCCATCTCAGGAGACATAGAGGCCGTTGATCATGTGGTGGAGCAAATCAAGCGTATTCATCCTGATATCTTGGCCAGAAGGCTCCAGGTCGACATGGCTTACCATTCTCACCACATGATTCCAGCCGGGAAGAAGTACCTCGAGGCAATGGAGAGAGAGCTAGGGATCGGAAGTACATCCATGTCACCAGATTGCTCCGGGACGACTATGTTTTCGACCGTCACAACTCAAACTATTACACAACCTCTCGACTTGGCGTACTGGGTTCTCAATCTGACTTCCCCAGTCAAATTTAGTCCGAGCTTTTCGAGAATACTGAGATATCTTAACTCTCAGCCCTTGTGTATTGAGGTCGGACCTCATTCACAGATGGCTGGGCCGGTGCGTCAGATATGCGCGGCACACCGCCTAGAGTGTATTTATGTTCCTGTCATGGTGAGATTTACGGATTGTCTCAGTTCCTTACTCAGCGCAATTGGTCAACTCTTCCAGTATAATGTCGACCTACACGTGACTGCTGATACGGTGTTATTTCCATCTGGCAAGACTCTGGTAGATCTACCACCATACCCCTGGGATCACTCTGAAGAGTATTGGAATGAGAGCAGGGTATCGTATGACTTCCGCTTTCGAAAATATGGTCATCACGCGCTGCTTGGGGTCAGAGTAACCGAAAGCAGCTCTCTAGAACCGACATGGCGTTGCGTTCTCGACCTGGAAGACGAACCTTGGCTAAAGGGCCACGTAGTGAATACGAATATAGTGTTCCCCTTCTCGGGTTACGTGTGTATGGCTGGGGAAGCGATTCGTCAAATCTCAGGCATCGAGCAGGTAGGCTACAAAGTCAAGCATATTGTGGTGGACACTGCCTTGGTGCTAGTGGAGAACAAACCGGTCGAGCTTATCACAACCCTCCGGAGACGAAGGCTCACCGACACCTCACACTCGGAGTTTTATGACTTCGTTATCTCATCTTACTCGGGGAAGGAGTGGGCTAAGCACTGTGAAGGCAGCATCACCACGCTCCATCAAAGGATCAAAACTACTCCAAATGTCACGACGCTGTCTCGCAAAGTAGCGACATCGCGGTGGTACGAAATCATGGCCCGAGTTGGTCTAAAATATGGCGATGCATTCCGAGGCATCAAGTCACTCGAAGCATCCCCATCGGAACGTCGAGCTGTCGGCATTATCACCGGGACTGTCGATGGCCCATTCCTATTTCATCCTGCTGTTATGGACTCGGCTTTTCAGTTGATGATCGCAGCAGGTGCAAAGGCCGCCTCTCGCCACCTCACCCAGCTTGTCGTACCGACTTTAATTGAAGAAATAGACGTTTTTGCGATGTCTGAGAGTATGGTCGCTGAGGCTTGGGTGTGTCCAGATCTCAACGATGTCGGCTTAGAGTGTACCTCAGCCGAAAATGTTGTACTCCGAATGAAAGGGGTAAAACTGACCAGTTTGGAAAGTGATCAGGATTCAGAGGTAGACGTCCATAAGGCAGCCCGAATGGAGTTTTTCCCTGACATAGATTTCATGGATCCTACATCGCTTATTCGAGCGCCGGCCATGAAGAGAGATTCAAAAGTAGCTCTCGAGGCGATAGTTCTCTTATCGATCCTCGATTTAGCTGACCGTCTCGAAAATCTGGAGCCGAGCCAACCACACTATCGCAAATATCGAGAATGGATTCGTCGAGAATACGATAAGGTAACAAATGGAGAATGTCCACTCACGGAGATCGATGCTCTTCGCCTCACAATGCTCAGTCCGACGGAACGGTCGGACCAACTTCAAAAACTGCTGAGCAAATCATCGCAGGACCCCAGCATCCGCTTGCAAGCAAGCGGCATCTACAAGATAAATCAGAACTGCGAGGATCTGTTCACTGGCCAGGCGGACGCGCTGGAACTCTTACTAGAAGATAATGTGCTGGCCGAGGTCTATAACTCCGTATCATTTGATTTCTCATGTTACGTTAGGCTGCTATGCATCAGCAAGCCCAAGCTGTGTATTTTAGAGGTTGGTGCAGGAACCGGTGGCGCGAGTGAGCTAATTCTCAGAGATCTAGTCAGCACGTCAAACAATCCTCTGTACAGCACCTACACATTTACCGACATCTCGGCCGGATTCTTCGCCCAGGCTTCTGAGCGTTTCAGCTATGCGCCCAATGTGGAATACAAAGTGTTTGACATTAGCCAGAATCCCTTCAGCCAGGGCTTCAAGCCTGAGACGTACGACCTGATCATCGCCAGCAACGTCGTGCACGCGACTGCGAACCTCAACGTCACACTACGGAACCTGCAGCCCCTGCTACGACCCGGAGGTCAGTTACTTCTCTCTGAGGTATGCGCGACTGCTGCTAAAGCCCCTGGGTTCGTATTTGGACAATTTTCTGGCTAGTGGATAGGCGAAGCCGACGATCGCAGGTGGGAACCCTTCGTTTCCGTTGAGCGATGGGACCGAGAGCTTAAGGCTGCTGGCTTCACGGGGGTCGACACAGTGGTATTCGATGAAAAGGGGCCTTATCAGTACTGCGCCGCCATGATATCCCGTGTAGTCCCCCAAGGGCTGCCCAGACCCGGCGTGGCACCGAAGCTGGACAATCTTACTGTCCTGTGTGCTAAGCCAGAACATGACAACACTGTCAGGCTCATAGAAGATCTGCAATTGCGTGGGTACAATGTAAACGTGACTGAATTTGGGGCCCGGCCGCTGCCGCCGCACGATCCAATTCTCGTCACTCTAGATCTAGAAGGATACCTTTTCCAAGACATTACTGCAGAAAGACTAGGCGCTTTTCAGGACCTCTGCCGACAGCACCAGGGCCAGAAGCTTCTATGGTTGATGCCGCCCGTGCAGATAGGCTGTGTCGACCCGGGACACGGGCAGACGATAGGGGTCCTACGCACCATCAGGGAAGAACTATCCTTGCCATTTCACACACTTGAAATAGCGCAGTCAGAGCCATTCTTTACCGATCTGGCTCTGAAAGTCATGGGGAAGATAGTTGCAATGGATGAGAATGAAGCACTCGATCCCGATAGAGAATTTATCGTAGAGAACGGCATGATTCTGGTTGGTCGGTGCCAACAATTTTCATTGAAAAGACGCATGGCGCCCACAGCAACACAGGATTCGGCCGTGAAGCAGCTCTGTATCGGTAAAACGGGACTCTTGGAGACTTTGCATTGGGTTAGCATGGGGCCCAACGTATTGAATGCGGATGAAGTCGAGATACAGACGAAGGCTGTGGGACTAAACTTCAGAGTAAGTGAATACACCATGACACCACATTAGAGTGTGTTGAGGCTGATGAGTTGGTTAAGGACATCATGGTGTCTATGGGTCTTTTGACGTTTGAAGGCAGCTCACCGCAGCTAGGTATCGAGATGTCTGGTGTAGTTACCAGAACTGGAAGCGATGTTCGGCATATTCGAGCAGGTGATCGCGTTATCGCCGTGGCATCACGTGGGTGTTTCTCGACCACAGCTATAGCCAAGGCGCCCCTTGTTGTCGGGATCCTCAAACACCTCAGCTTCGAAGAAGCAGCCACAATGCCGACAGTCTTCGGAACAGTGTTTCAAGCCCTAGTGCGAGTGGCACGCTTGCGTAAGGGGGCTAGCGTTCTGGTACACTCCGCATGTGGTGGCATCGGGCATGCTGCCGTCCAGGTGTGTAAGAACGCTGGCGCCAACGTGAGTTTCAACAGTACCATCTTTTTTAGAACTATCCAGCTACTGACCTGATTTCTTATAGCTCTACGTAACAGTGGGCAACTATGATAAAGCCAATTACGCTCATCGGGTCTTCGGCATCCCAAGAAACCAAATCTTCAGTTCCCGAGACGACTCTTTCCTCGAGGGTTTGATGCGTGAGACGCAAGGTAAGGGCGTCGATGTTGTGTTGAATTCTCTCTCTGGAAATCTACTACATGCTTCGTGGCAGTGTGTCGCCGAGTTCGGCCAGCTCGTGGAACTCGGTAAGCGAGATCTTGTCGGATTCGGGACTCTCGCTCTCGAGCCCTTCCTGGGGAACAGGTCTTACTCCTGTGTGGACTTGGCCCACATGCTCGAGCGTCGTCCTGAGGAAGTTGGTAGTCTACTGAGAGAAATGATTGACCTATTTCGTGCTGAAAGAATCGAACCGGTCAAGACTCGCGCAGTTTACACCACACACGAGATTGAGAAGGCCTTCCGATATATGCAGAAAGGCAATCACATTGGAAAGATTGTTGTGACAATGCCGAAGGACACCTCCAGCTTGGCTGCTCGTGTCAGGCCTGTAGAAATCAAGTTTGATCCCGCGGCGAGCTATCTGCTCACCGGTGGTCTCGGGGGTGTTAGCCGATCAATAGCAACTTAGATAGCAGAGCGAGGTGCACATAATCTAGTATTTTTGTCTCGATCCGCAGGTAAAGGAAGAAACGATAGCACGTTTTTCACCGAGTTAGGGGCCCTAGATTGTGTCGCTGTTCCTGTGCCAGGAAGGGTTGAAGTTGAGGAGGATGTCCTGAGGGCGATTGCGGCAGCTCCAACCCGTATCAAAGGCGTGATACATCTTGCCATGGTTCCCCGGGTAAGCTGACTTTTTTCAAAGTAGCGAATTGCCCCGGCTGACTCTGAATCGTTTAGGATGGTGCTATTCTTGATCTAGCTTTCGAAGACTGGACTGCAGCCATAGCACCTAAAGTACAGGGGGCTTGGAATATACACAACGCATTCGTCCAACGAGCCGAAGCACTTGACTTCTTTGTCACATCAAGCTCGATTGCGACACTAGTACAAAATCCCGGCCAGAGTAGTTACGCTGCTGCCAATGCCGCGTTGGAGGCAATGGTCCAACATCGCCGGAATATGAGGCTTCCAGCAGCAGTCCTTGGGCTTTGCGCTGCCGACGACATCGGGTTCGTTGCTGACAATCCAACCATCCGCCGGAAACTCCAAGCTCAAGGGGTGCACTTCCTACCCGAAAAACAAATCCTCGATTATTTCGAATTCGCCCTCTTAAATCAATTGGACCCAGAGACACCTGGCAAAGATCAGCAAAGCTTCTTGAAGCCACGCATCAGCCACGGCTATACTATCGTCGGTTTGCACAGTGACACACCCTTAAATGATCCTCGGTGTCCCACCATTTGGCGTCGTAACCGCAAGATGGGCATGTACCACAACATACGTGACGTATCCAGCAGCGCGGGTGGCAACTCGCTGAGCGGCTTGAACGCCTTCTTAGAACGGGCTAAGACAGACAGCGATCCGGCCCAGTTCTTGCTCGGAAAGGCCAACGTCAATTACCTAGCGACTGAAATTGGCACGCGTATCTTCCAGTTCATGATGAGGGACATGACAGACTTGGACATTTCGGCCGGTCTAAATGCGATCGGCATGGACTCCTTGATGGCGATTGAGCTACGAAGATGGTGGAAGCAGACCTTAGCTGTAGAAGTGACTGTGTTGGAGATCATGGCAGCTGGAACAATCTTGGGGTTGGGCCAGCTAGCTAGTGAAGGACTGGGGAAAAGGCTAGGAGTGAAACCAACCTAGGTGGGAGTCTGAGTCCCCTGCAGGTGGGTTACGGCTTCGCATCGCATGTGACAAGGTAGCAAGTGTAACTGAGTAACATATGAAGTTGATGTCAGATTTATGAGATTGAGAGTAGCTTGGAGCCTCTTCCATCTAAGAGAATACCATTTGTACTATTGCTTATCAATAATATAGGTTATTGGGCGCATCCATTGTTGTTGAAAGACCGGAATCCAAAGCGTTAGAACTATTGCTCTATGGGGTTAACAGATAATCCTGTATTAACATGACATTGTTACATCCCATACCTAGTACATGAGTAGCAATAAGACTGGAATGATACTCATTTAAAGGATATACGCATTGATGAACATAACTCGAGTCTTATAAGTAGGAATATACAACGCCCATTATGGGGCGTGACTCAGATCCTGATCAGAATGCCCCTGAAGCTGCTAACGGTGATAGGGATGTGAGGCGATCCCGCTCCGTTATGTCCGGTGAAGTCAGCCTCATCTCAACCACGATCTACGTCTTCATGGCTTTGTCTAGGGCCAAAGAAACAAGTCTCATCTAATCTAATAGCCTTTTATGACGGTGTTAGACATACTCTGTTTGGTACTGGGTCCGCCTTCAACAGTTATATCCGGGAAAGTTCAAAGTCCACGGAGGCGATCCCGGACTAAATGCCACCAATTTGGCGGAAACACCTGACCAGCTGCGGGCTCGTGGTGCGGTCGAGCCCCATGTTGGGGGTGAAAGGATCGCTTCTATTGCTAGAGGCGAGCGCGACTCCGATGTGGGACGGGTTTGTGGTGTTTATGGTGTTTCACCTTGGTAGTAGATATAATTGCTATTACCGTGTATCAATGATAGAGTAGCTTCCAACAGGGCTGGCTACCCTTAAGTCAGCCAGTACATATGCGTGCTAATATACGCATCCCACTTCACGCTATCTTCCGATAAATGAAACTGAAATAACGTAGGACCTTGCCGGTACCATATTGAGCTTCGAAGTAATCTAGCAGTTTGATAGCTGGGTTTACGTCCTCCTCTCCGTTGTCTGCACTCTTTTTGAGAGCATCGAGCCACTCCCGGACCGGCTCTTCATCAAATATCAACCCGACTGATTTAAACTCGCCAAGCCAGCAGTCCCAGGAGAATAGTGCTACTCATCGCGAATACGGAGTCGGCTAATTGATTTAAGGTCGGGTTCGAGTATATTTTGGCGGCGATAAGTCGAGTCCCACTTGACAACTTTGTACTTGCCGATTTGACTTGAGTGTTAAGCTCTCTCGCTATACGCAGAACTTGCAGTGAGTCGATTCCAACCAAGGCTCAGTCAGTAATTATCAGGAATAGTAAACAGGAGCGTGCAGGAGCAGTGAGGCCAAATGCCTTTCCGAGAAGGAAATAATGGCATCGGGGGACTAACTAGACCACTCTTGAATTTGTGGGAATGTACTGAAAATTCCTTGGTATCGAATCTGTTTAGGCTCGCGGACTAGGAAGAGCTCGTTATAACAAGGACAGAGATACTGAGCTTGGAACTAGGCAATTCTGATTATAATGAACAACTGCCACTTCCAATTGAGGGTCAAATCCGAACTCACGAGTTCCATGATTCGCTCGGCATTAACGCTCAAAATGCTGCCGAAACTTGAAGAGGTATGTAATTCACATTTGCGCTTCCTTTCTTCTTTTCCTTCTCCTTCTTCACCGCCTTCTCCCTTCTTTCCATCGTAATAAGCTGGTCGTGGTGATAGCAATGCTCCTGGCTCCCAGTTGATCTCTTGGCGATAGCAATCATATTGAAAATCCGGTCTGTGATTGCACACGCTGTCCTCCCTCTTATTGCAGTCTACCATCAATAATCCAATCCATCTCTAGAAGCTAGCGCCAGGCTTTCCAATCTTGGATTGATCGATTGATTGATTGGCTAGTACATGGAGAGCCCTCAATGAATACCGAGGTATATGTAATGACGCCAGATCATGTCTCAATGTCCATATTCCATTGGCTCTTAGTCTCTAATGTCTTCTGATCCTCCAAGCTGAAGGGTGGGTGTGCCTCCGTCTTCCTGCTGTCTTCAGCGATTCTCTAATCACCAGCTCAGGCTTCTGCCTTTGTCTAGTGGTTGTCCGCTAACTACCCAGGTCAAGCCTTTCGTTGTCGTCACTCTCGTGATTGTTTTTGTATGTCAAAATGTCGCGACTCGGAGGAGAGCAGGTTTGCGGTGCCATCGTTCCCACTCGTAGGGCCTGCGGCAAGGTGGTATATGTAGGTAGGTAGGGACTTCTTCTAGTTGATTAGTAGCATTAGCCAATGGCAAGTCAAGTCCTTGAGCAGCAGGCACTAGAGTTCCTGAGCAGCAGGCACTAGAGTTCCTGAGCAACAAACACTGGAGTTCCTGAGCAGCAGACACTAGAGTTCCTAAACAACAGACATTCGAATTCCTAAGCAACAAACACTCGAGTTCCTAAGCAGCAAACACTGGAGTTCCTAAACAGCAGACATTCGAATTCTTAAGCAGCAAATACTTAAATTCTTAAACAGCAGATATTGGAGTTCCTAAGCAGCAGACATTAGAATTCCTAAACAACAGACACTCGAATTCCTAAGCAACTGTTACGGAATAACATAAGGAGTGCAGTACTATACCACTACGCCACCAAAAGGTAACGACGAATTATTAAATCAAAGGCTTAACATCTTTATGCTTACTATATAATATTATACTATAATAATACCCCTTATTTTAAATATAATTAATTTAATTATATATAAAGAAGTATATATTTAAAAGTAATATATATAATTAATACTTAAAAACCCTTATAATAGTTTTTTAATTATATAAATAAGTTAAGTTCTTTATTTTTAAAAACTACATTAAGGGTTATTTATATAAAGGGTCCCTAATCCCTTTATAAATAAAATATAATTACTTAATTATAAAATTAAATATATAATTATATAACTTAATAAACTATTATAAAATAATATAAGGAGTATAATATTATACTACTATATTATTAAAAGGTAACAATGAATTATTAAATTAAAGGCTTAACATCTCTGCACTCACTATATAGTACTGTACTGTAATAGCAACAAACATTTAAATTCCTGGGCAGTAAATATTCGAATTCCTAAGTAGCAGATATTAGAGTTCCTGAGCAGCAGATATTAAAGTTCCTAAGCAACAGACATTTAAATTCTTAAGCAACAGACATTCAAGTTCTTAAGCAATAGATATTCGAATTCCTAAGCAATAGATATTCGAATTTTTAAATAATAAATACTTAAGTTTTTAAATAACAGATATTTGAGTTCCTAAATAGTAGATATTAAAGTTCCTAAGTAGTAAACATTTAAATTCCTAAATAATAGATATTCGAGTTCCTAAGTAATAGATATTAAAGTTCCTAAGTAGCAGATATTCGAGTTCCTGAGCAGTAAACATTGGAGTTCCTGAGCAACAGACACTGAAGTTCCTAAGCAACAGACATTCGAGTTCCTGAGCACCAGCGTAGATAGTTTTAGTGCGCGTGAGGGTGGCCTGGTAAGGCAGCAGTGTCAGTAGTCTCAATCCTTCAAGATTGGACAGCTGTGATAACGATGTAGCATTTACTTTGCTTAGAGGCTGATGGCCAGTACGCAGAGTGCAATCGAAACTATGCTAGGTCCATGGTGTTCTAGGCCGATGATGGGTATCCATGTATGGGGGTCGTTGTGGATGGACTAGAGTTGCATGAGGGAAAAGATCTAAGCTATGTACAGTGGGACACTAGAGAGGTATTTATCCCATACAAATACAGTCAGCGTGTGGGTGACACGGGCCATGTCCTCGCTTACACTCAATACATCCTAACCCTTATTGTGAACGTATTTAGCCCACAATCTTCACTCAGCACCATTGGCAATCTAGCCACACTAGGCTGTATGCCAACACCCCTTATGTATATATATGTATTCATGGTAGAATAGTGAGTCGAAAGTTACCACAATGACCTCATGGTACCACAACAGCTCGAAAACGGACCGTGCCATTAAGCATGGCCTCTGCGATGTCCTTAGTAAGCATATGTCCTGAACTTTAGGGAAAACGGCGATTTATTATTGGCGGAGCTTACCAAATGCATCCTGGGCCTTGTCCAAGGGAAACGTCTCGACCATACAGTCTATTTTCTGTAGCTCGGTAAATGCTATGGCTTCCTCGGAGTCTTTGGCATGACCACTCGGCCAAACTTGGATCGAGATACCGTATTTCAACATGACGCCGGTGTTGACAGGTATTTCGCCCGGTACACTCAGCACCAAGAGTTTACCGAGGACCCCAAGGCCGGTGATCAGAGGCGTGATTGAATCGGCCGTGGGCGCTGTCGCAACTACTAAGCTTGCACCTCCCAGGGCCTTCAAGGCTTGGCCGACATCGCCCTTGTTCGCATCAATGTACTCGTGCGCCCCAAGTTGGCGTGCAAACTTTTCCTTTTCTGCGCCTCGTGATATGGCTGCAACACGATAAGCAAATCGCAAGGGTCCCGGGCCACCACGTCACGGGCTACCCCACCACCCACCCAACACCACTTAATTAAAGCTGTATTTTTCAACGAAAACGATCGCAATCGCTATTTTTAAGCGGTTGTAGCCATAATACAATCTTTAAGCTTTAAAATATCCTTTTAAATAATCTTTAATAAATTTTTTAAAGTTTTAAATACTTTAAAATTATTTACTTTATTTTTATAAATCTTCCTATTATATATTTAATATTTTTATAAATTTATATTTAAATGTTATTTTTACCTTTTTTTTTTAATTTAATTAATTTTTTAATTTTAAATTAAAAGTATTAAACTTTTACTTTAAAAGTTATAATTTTATTAATTTAAAAGTTTAATACCTTTAAAACCTTTTAAATAATTAATTTTTATATTAATATATTAAATATATAATAATTTATAATAAATTTTTAATAATTTTATTAAAAATTTTAACTTATTAAAAATATTATTATAATATATTTAAAGTTAAATATTAAAAAGTTTAATATTTTAAGTTTATTTTTATTATAAAAGCTTTATATTTAACTTTTAAAATATTCTTTTTTTTTAATATTATATATTTTAAAAATAATAGTTTAATTTAATCCTATAAAAATATTTTAATTATTTTTTATATATTTTTAATTTATTTAAATATTAAAATATTAATTTTTATAAATTATAATATTTTTAATAACGCATCTCCCACTTAACCTGGCCACACAATTAAGCTGGCCACCCCCTTAACCTATATAAAAGTCCAATGTTTCAATTTGGAATAACTTAACCAATATTAGTCCTACAATTTAATAATTAGTACCATTAGATCCGTTATTTAATAAGGAATCTAGCGGTATTTTTTACTATTTTTTATAAAATTTATTAGGCAAGATATTAAGCAATACGCTAAAAGGCCGTTAGGTAAGGATTATTTTAATGCTTACTTTAGCGTATTGCTTAATAACTCCACGGATATAAGTTGTATAAATCAATGGAGAGTACCGTTGGATAGCCCTTCTTATTACGAATCTAATGGTATATTTTATTATTTTATACGACTAATATTTATAAAGTTATTCAATTATCACGTGATTAGCGTACCGACGTTTTTTGTATGGGCTGGTGGGGTGGCCAGGTCAATTGGGTGGCCAGGTTAAGTGGGAGATGCATTATATTTTTTTAAAAGGTTTAATATTTAAATTAATTAAAAAATATTTATAAAAATAATTATAAAGCTATTTTTTTAATAATTTAAAAATTTTAATATTTAATATTTATATAATATAATTATAATAAAGCTTATAAAAAATTAAATATATTTTATTTAATATATAAATTATTAAAAAGATATTATTTATATAATTATTATAATTATTATATATTAATATTATTTAACGCATCTCCCATTTAACCTAGCTACCCAATTAACCTAGCCACCCCCTTAGCCCATATAAATAACGTCGGTACATTAATCACGTGATAATTTAATAACTCTATAACTATTAATCGTATAAAATAATAAAATATACCATTAAATTTATAATAAAAAGAGCTATCTAACGGTACCCTTTACTAACTTTTACAGCTTACATTCGCAGAATTATTAAGCAATATGCTAAAGTAAGCGTTAAATTAATCCTTGCTTAGCGCCCCTTTAGCGTATTGCTTAATATCTCGCTTAATAAATTTTATAAAAAATAGTAAAAAATACCTCTGGATTCCCCTTGAACTAACGGATTTAAAGGTATTAATTGTTAAATCGTACGATCAATATTCGTAAAGTTATTAAAGATTGAAATAATGAGGTTTTATATAGGTTATTGGGGTAGCCAGGTCAATTGGGTGGCCAGGTCAAGTGGGAGATGTGTTATTTATTATTATATTAAATTTAAATTTATAATATAAAAACCTTTTTAAATTAATTTAATATAATTTTATTATTAAATTACCCTTTAAATAAAGCTTAAAAAAATTAATTATTTTATAAATTTATATTTTATTATAAAAATTATTAATATTAAATATTTTTACCTTTAAAGATTATTATTAATAAAAAAATATAATTATTAATAATAATATATTTTAATATTATTATTTATTTACTTTTATTAATATTTTTTTTAAATATTAAATAATTAATTATTTTATAGTTAAATAATTTAATAATTATTATTAATACTTTATTTAACGCATCTCCCACTTGACCTGGCCACCCAATTAACCTGACCACCCCCCCAGCCCATACAAAAAACGTCGGTACACTAATCACGTAATAATTTAATAACTTTATAAATATTAGTCGTATAAAATAATAAAATATACCATTAGATTCGTAATAAGAAGGGCTATCCAACGGTACTCTCCATTGATTTATACAACTTATATCCGTGGAGTTATTAAGCAATACGCTAAAGTAAGCGCTAAAATAATCCCTGCTTAGCGTTACTTTAACGTATTACTTAATATCTCGCTTAATAAATTTTATAAAAAATAGTAAAAAATACCTCTAAATTCCCCTTTAACTAACGGATTTAAAGGTACTAATTATTAACTCGTACAATTAATATTCGTAAAGTTATTAAAGATTGAAATAATAGGGTTTTATATAGATTATTGGGGTGGCCAGGTCAATTGGGTGGCCAGGTCAAGTGGGAGATGCGTTAACTTTTATTTTATTTATATTATATTAATAATCTTTTAAAATATTAATAATTTTTAAAGTTTTAAATTAATTAAAAAAAAGATTAATATTAATTATTATAATATTATTAACTTTTAAATAATTAATTATATAAGATTTAATAATTTTAATTAATAAATTTTATTAAATAAAGCTTTAATATTATAATAAAAAAACCTTTTTAATAATATTAATATTATTAAATATAAAATTTATAAAAATTTAAAATTTAATTAATAATAATATATAGTTTAATTTAACCTAATTAATTATTTAATATATTAATTAATATTTTAAATAAAGTAAAAAAAATTAAAAGCTTTAATTTATTTCTTTTTAAATTAAAGTTTTATTAAAATAATATTATAAAGTAATCTTAAAAATATTTTACTTTTATATTATTATTATTATAGTTGGAGTATTATATATAAGGTAAAGCTTATATTAGGGTACTATTTATATATTTATTATAAGATAAAGAACAAAGGAAATATTCTAAGTATAAAAAGTATGGCAAAGTATTTTAATGCGTATAGCGAAGCGATGGTTATGTGGTAATTACGATACGTATAGCAGTGTAGCCATCTAGGCCCTAAGTGTTGGATTAATATAATATATAAAATAAGAGCCTTATAAATTAAATATATTAATTACATTAAATGTATTATTATTATAACGTACGCTTATTATACTCCTTTAAAAAGCTTTATATATAATAATATATATAATTTAATTAAGTAAAAAAATAAAATAAAATATATATAATTAAAAAGCTTAATAGTTAAAAATTTAATAATTAAAAGTTTTATTAATTTTTATACTTTATTAAAATAATAAACTTTTAAAAAACTATTAAAAAGATTTAATTACTTATAATAATAATAACTTAAACTACTTATAATTAATTTAAAAATTTTCCCTTATAAAATAAAAACTTTATTATAAATGTTAAAAGTAAGAACTTTTAAAAATATATTAACCTTTATTAATAAACTCCTTAACTTATTAAATTAAACATTTTAAACCTTAATAATTACTTATTTATAAATATTAAATATATTATTAATATATTAATAAATTTTATAACTATTAAATAAACTTAATATTAATATATTAAAGGGTATTATAAAGTAGCTTTAAAAATATATTTAATATATTAAAAAGAAGTTATTAAATTTATTATATAAATATAAAAAATTATATATAAATATTATAAAATAATTTATATAAGGGTTAAAGAAATTATAAATTAATAATATAACTACTTAATTAAATTTAATAATATAATATAAAAGGTTTTTTAATATAAATATAAAGATAAATATAAATGCTATATGTTAATAGTTTATAGTAAACTAATTAAGGACCTTATTAAATAGGTTAATAAATAATAGAAAAAGATTACTTATACTTATATAAAAGGGGCTATTAATTTTATAAAGCTTTAAAAGCTTTTTATAAACCTTTAAAAAGCTTTATTATTATTATTATTAATTTAAATAATTATTTATAAAAGTATTTATAAGGTAAAAATTTTAAATAGTTTAAACTTTATTACTTATAATACTATTATAATTAACCTTTAATATAAAATTATTATAATAAACTTAATAAATAAAGAAGGGAAGCTTATATAGGGAGGTATATTTATTACTTATTAATAAGGAAAAGATTTAAATAAATTTATTAAAGAGGAGGAAAAAGATTAACCTTACCTAATTAAAAAGGAATAATAAGGTTATTAATATAATAAATAATAATATTATAATTTATAAAAATAAAATAAGGGTTATAAAAGGAGCTTATAAACTATTTATTTAAAGCGCTTTAAGGTAAATATATAAATAAAAGATAAAAAGGAAAGCTTTAACATTAAAAAATATATAATATATTATGGATAATATTATATATCAATTTATTAATATACCTTTTTAAAGCTCCGCCCTATAAATTAATTCCTTAAAGCTAGTTTAAAATATATAACTAAAGCTTAATTATAAAAAAAAGAGGTAATTAAAGTAATAAAGCGTAAAAAGGCACCTATTAAGGAAAAGAAATAAACTCGTTTTATTTTTCTTAAAATAAAAGAACCCCTTTAAAATTAATTATTAAAGCTATTTATTTTATATATTTTAAGCTCCTTTATTATAAATTAAAAGTTTATTAATATTTACCTTTTAAAGCATTATATTAATGCATCTCCCACTTGACCTGGCCACCCAATTGAGCTGGCCACCCCCTTAACCTATATAAAAATCCAATGTTTCAATCTGTAATAACTTAACTAATATTAGTCTCACAATTCAATAATTAGTACCAT